CTGGTAGCACAAGCTATCAGGTCTAACTCACACCCACCCACATCTACTCATGTATTTATCCAACCTATTTTTAAAGCTACACAACGTTCTGGCCTCTATAACGGTACTTGGGAGTTTGTTCCACTCATCCACAACTCTATTACCAAACCAGTACTTTCCTATATCCTTCCTGAATCTGAATTTTTCCAACTTAAAACCATTGCTGCGAGTCCTGTCTAGGCTAGATATTTTCAGCACACTATTTACATCCCCTTTATTTATTCCTGTCTTCCATTTATACACCTCAATCATAAGAACATAAGAAGAACATAAGAACGAAGGAACACTGCAGAAGGCCTACTGGCCTATGCGAGGCAGGTCCAAGTCCCTACCGGCTTAAGCCAATGCACCCAACCTAGTCAGGTCAGGTCACATTGACTCAAGGGAGGAACACGGCAACCGACCCGTTAGCACAAGCTATCAGGTCTAACTCACACCCACCCACATCTACTCATGTATTTATCCAACCTATTTTTAAAGCTACACAACCCTAATTCTACGTCTTTCTAGAGAGTGCAGTTTCAGGGCCCTTAGTCTATCCTCATAGGGAAGGTTTCTGATACATGGGATCAACTTTGTCATCCTCCTTTGTACATTTTCCAGAGTCTTCACATTTCTCAAGTTCTTATACTCTGCATAATATTTACATTACACACTGATATTAAAAATAGCACCTCCACTGCCTCCAGCCTCCTGACTGCAACATTCAAAGACCATGTTTCACACCCACACAAAAGTGTTAATACTGCACTTATTTCTTTCTACAGATGCCTCTACACTCCAGCCGCCAATACATCTACTCCCAGTTTCCTGTATACGTTCACTTCCTACATTTTCCCTTCCTTCATTTTGACGTTCACTCTGTCACTACCAAGACTTTTTCTTGCTCTCATCATCCAGGTCTTTTCTATGTTCACTTTCTATTTCCTTCTTTTCCACACCCTTCTAAACTCTTTCACAAATTTTTACATCTTATCTTCATAATCTCCTAAAAGGAATGTATATATCTGCAGCAAAAAGCAGTTTGTCATTACTTTATTCCATATTTTTTTTATCTTTCAGTTAAGGCCACACCTCTTCCCAACACGGACACTCAAGATTTTACAACTTCATCTATAAATACATAAAATATCACACATTCCTGTCTAAAGCCCACTTTCCCTAACTCTATTTATTATTCTTTTAGTTATAACTCGGCTAGTATCAGTTAGCAAGAGAGGAGAGAGAGAGGAGAGAGAGGGAGAGAGAGAAAGTAAGGACAGACTATTTTCAGCGACAAACTTAAGAGCTCTAATATTTTTATTACTAAAAATAATAAAAATATAAAGACCGAGAGTAGAAGTAGAGCGAAAGCAAGAGTAAGACGAACAAAAAATAAGAGAAACGTCAAGGAATGAGAGGGTGTGGCAGAGGAGTGGTTACGGAACCCAGTTTACAAGGTATTTGTACAGCGCTAAATATTCACCTCTGGAATAATGTCATCTAACTACAGTAGTTCACGTACAGTAAGCATATACTCACAGCCTAGTTGCCACAACTCGTACTGCTTGACGACCGCCCTGATCATATGACAGAGATATAACCACATTACTTTGTGTAAGTCAATGGGTCAGTGCCCAGACTATTTTTAGATAGGTTTTACATCATCAGAAGGCTAATTCAAAAAAAAAAAAAAAATACGATAAACATGCAGCAACGAGAAAGTCAAGGAATAATATTGAAAAGGCAATTAGACTTAAAAGATGAATAAAAGAATGATAAAGAGGAAATAGTAAAGGGGCAAGTGACCCAGTGACCCGGATGGTCATCGGAAGCTGGTTACGCCACTCAGGTACAACATACATCTCAGCTTTAATTATATATATAATATATATTATATAATATATAAAATATAATATATATATTATAAATAATATATATATATATATATATATATATATATATATAATTATATATATATATATAATATATATAATTATATATATATTATATAATAGGCTGTCTTAGGGTCAGCATAATCATAATAATGATTTTGATGAGAGTAACTTAAATTGAGAACTAGTCTGCGTTGAGAGAGTATCAAGAGAAATTGAGGATACGCAATAACCTTTCGTGGCCTGGACCCAGTGAATGTTGTCAAGTTAGTTTACTGTAGTCCCACTTGGAAGTAAGTCAAAATTCTTACAAATACTATTATTGGCTCTACCCTCAACTGGTGACTCCTTACCTGTGCATAACATTTCTGTGCATCCCTTCTGACCTAATATAGTTGGCCTGGTTGCTATTTTTATGCCACAATACTTTCCTGTACAAAAACTCGAGTGGACCTGATAACCTCCGTCTATGTGGCATTGTTTTAACAAGCATGGGGGGTATTGCTCAATATTCTCGCCTCACACACTGAACGTCCGTGGTTCAATCCTCGGCCGGGTGGAAACATTGGGCATGTTTCCTGACATCTTCTTTCCTGTTCACCTAGTAATAAGTAGATACCTGAGTGTTAGTCGACTGGCGTAAGTCGCACCCTGGGAGTTTACCTGGAGTTTACCTGGAGAGAGTTTCGGGGGTCAACGCCCCCGCGGCCCGGTCTGTGACCAGGCCTCCTGGTGGATCAGCGCCTGATCAACCAGGCTGTTGCTGCTGGCTGCACGCAAACCAACGTACGAGCCACAGCCCGGCTGGTCAGGAACTGACTTTAGGTGCTTGTCCAGTGCCAGCTTGAAGACTGCCAGGGGTCTGTTGGTAATCCCCCTTATGTGTGCTGGGAGGCAGTTGAACAGTCTCGGGCCCCTGACACTTATTGTATGGGAGACAGCCCTCGATGACTCACTGACTTTCGTGGGTTATCCTGGGTGGCTAACCCTCCTCCGGGTTATCCTGGGTGGTTAATCCTCCCCTGGGTTATCTTGGGTGGCTAACCCTCCCCTGGGTTATCCTGGGTGGCTAAGCCTCCCCCGGGCAACCCCTGCACAGAAGCCCTCCAAACTTTCCTCAGCACTGGTGAACATCCTTCCAGTTGGATCGAAACAACTGGAACCGACCTCCGCATGAACCATCTACATGATCTATGTCAAGTTAGGCAACAGAGACACTTCCCTGCTCCATGGGATATTACCCCATTTCAAACTACCATTCCTCCATTTACCCCCAAAACTCTTCTTAAATCACAACCAAAGCTTCGTCTTGGAGCCAGACATGATGCCTTAAGCTGTATTGATAACTTAGTCACACAAAACACTCTTTCACAAATTATTTACATTGATGGTTCTGTTCACCAGTCCACTGGTGCAGCTGGTAGTGCTGCTGTTGCCATACAGAGTGATGGCTCTCATAAAGAAATTGGAGCACACATCAATAACTGGGCCTCTACCCTTCAGACAGAACTGTTTGCCATACTCCTTGCACTCAAATGCGTTTATGTATCTTAGGTTGACACTTTAATTATAACTGATTCTCTGTCATCCATAAATGCTCTCAACTCATTAAGTATAAATTTTGGCATGCTTGTGTCAGAAGCCAGACATAGGTATGGTAAGATTGTGGACAGTAGAGTCCGAGTGCACATGCTGTGGATTCCATCTCACATTGGTCTTGCAGCGCTGTATAGCCCTTGTGGTTTAGAGCTTCTTTTTGATAATAATAATAATAATAATAATAATAATAATAATAAATCACATTGGTCTTCAGATGTATGATAGAACTGATGAACTGGCTAAGTTGTATGCTTTCAAAGAGGGAGTAGATTACAATCTTGGGTTGTCAGTTAGTTAGCAGTTTGAGAACAATAATACGAAAAGAACTTCAATTGAACTTTATGGACTTAAGACTCAGGGAGATTGACACCAGTCAGTCCATCTAGCATCATTCCATCATGCAGGGGGAGCCACATGTCTATGGTGCATCCAACAAAACCACCAGCGTATATCCGTATACACCCCTTCCCCCTACGAACGCGTGTTAATATGTATGCATGTCGTGCGCACACGACCTACTGACCATGAAAAAAAAATATAATTTAAACAAAAGCGTAGTAAATTTTAGAAAGGGGCCAACTTTCCCCTTCACCCGACCACTAGTGTTTGTAAACAAGGAGTCACGTGGCCTCTGCCACCCTGCTCTTCATCACCTGTCAAATATGTAAGTTTATTCAAGTATACACAAATACAGTTACATAGATTATCATACATAGCAGCATATGTGTAGAAAACCTAAGATAACCCAAAAAAAGATTAATTCAACACAATGTATTATTAATATATACCTGCGACATTTGTGTGCACCGTCTCCATGCCTCTGAGCAACTCTTGATCCTAGGAAGTGGAATTATCCTCCCATTTCTGTAGGTGTTATACAATCCTGCAAATTTTGCGCTTCCTTTTAAATATGATATTAATAACAATAACAAAAATAATAATAATATGTAAAATTTGATGCTACTGTTTGTAAAATCCTTGGTACATGACCTAAATAAAGTGGATTTAAATATAGAACAGTGCAGAGTGTGTACGTGACAGTTCATATACAGTATGATCTGTCTGGAATATTTATATTAAATTAGCAGTTCTCTCTTACTCTGTCCCTGGAGTGATGGCCGTCACAAATCTCTCAAATACACAACGGATATTAATTTAGCTTTCTCCACTGGCCCCTTCTGTGTCTGAGACACAGTGCTAACCTCTGCTGCTAGACGAAACCTTTCGCCACGTGGATGCCTTGATATATGTACTGCTCTTGAAGACTGATATTCCATAACGGGAGAGGAATAAAATTAGTCCTGTAGATTCCACGGCCTCGTATGTGTTCGCATCAGGAGTAACATGTTCAGTAGTCAATCCTAATGACCTCAGATTCCACAGACACTGTATGATCTCTATGTATTTAGCGCTTCCTCGTTGATAAAATTATAATAACAATCTAAAGGCATGCACGGCAGGCACTAACATCGGCCATGGCATCAACAGGCACAGGTGGGCGGCGGGCGGACTTCCGGCACGGCGGGTTCCCTAAGTTTCCGGCGGCATCGGTGGAGGTGGCGAGTGTGAGAGACGACCTGCCGCCCCTCAACGCCTCCCCGTGCGGCCGCACAGCCACCCCCAGGATCGTCGGCGGCGCCGCTACCACCTACGGCAGCCACCCCTGGCAGGTAGGCCTATACATCCTTTAGTTTAATGTCTTTTTTATGCATGTATGTACTTATATGTGGTTACATGAGTCGAGTTTTACTTCCTGGCGCCGTCTCTCAAATTACCTCTTGTTAGATTCATTTCCTCCTAGCCTATTGGGCATTTTTATACCTACTCTTAAAACTGAGTATGGAGCCTGCCTCCACCACTTCTTCGTCCAGGTCATTGCACTTCCTGACCACCCTGAAGCTGAAGAGGTACTTCCTGACATCACTGTTACTCAGCTGTCTGCAAATTCTGTGTCCCTGTGTTCTTGTTTTCTGCCTCTTAATTCCTTTGGGTATTGTGTATGTTGTTATCATGTCTCTCCTTGTTCTACTGCCCTCTTATGTTGTCAAGTTCGGGTCTTTTATCCTTTCTTTATAGCTTATTCCCCTTAGCTCTGGAACTTACTGCGCTACATGCCTCTGTAATCTGACTACCGCCCACATGATGGGTATGGGGTGCCCAACTAAACTGCATGCCTCTTCACTTTCTCCAGTCTCTTAACATTATCAGGTTTGGGTTCCATGCTGATGCTGTATGTTCCAAGAGAGGATTTATAGTGTTCTTCGCATTCTTCACCATCGTTTTTCTTGATCTGCCTTTACCGGTTCATCTGTTTTTCATCCCCTCCCCCTCAAGAGAGGTTCCTTGACGCTGGTGAGGGGCTCTTGATCAAGGGAATTGGATCTATACTCCGGTTCCTTGAATTGAGCCTGAATACCTTCCATTTCCCCCTCACGTGCCCTGTATAATCCTACGGGTTTAGCGCTCCCCATGATTATAATAATGTTTTTCATCCTCCTAAACTATTTCCGGAACTCTCTCACACATCCTTCGTGTAACTTCAAGTTGGTATTTAGTATTCTGACTCTTGGGCAAACTTCCCATTTCTTTGACAATAATAACAAAATATATGAAGAGATAATACTCATGCGGTTATTGATACCAGCAATATTATTAATACCTCGTGACTTAAGAAGACTTATGATTACAGTAGTTTCTTCCCTTCTCTAGTGCATTTGAGTATTTGTCTCAGACAAAGATTTAGGATTGTTAACCGTAAAGCATTGGTAACCCAGGATAGCCCTTTAGTGCTGCTACTACTACATAACCACCACCAGTACCACTACCACCACTTTCACCATCAACACTAGCACCACCAGTAACAAGTCTTTCCCCACAGGTGAAGATTGAGGTGTACAAGAGAGGAGAAGGCTTTACCCATCACTGTGGTGGAGCCATTATTTCTGCCTTCCACATCGTCACTGCCGCCCATTGTTTGCAAGTACCAGGCCTCTCCCGTCATGACTACCGCGTTAAGGTATGTTTCTCTCACTCAGTCCTTTCTTCATCTCTCTTCTACCCCTTGTCCACCTCAGTAGATCTCTCTCCTCATTGTCCACCTCAGTAGATCTCTCTCTCCTCTTTGTCTGCCTCAGTAGATCTCTCTCCTCTTTGTCCACCTCAGTAGATCTCTCCACATTGTCCATCTCAGTAGATCTCTCTATCCTCTTTGTCCACCTCAGTAGATCTCTCTCCTCATTGTCCACCTCAGTAGATCTCTGTCCTCATTGTCCACCTCAGTAGATCTCTCTATCCTCTTTGTCTGCCTCAGTAGATCTCTCTCCTCTTTGTCCACCTCATTAGACCTCTCTCTCCTCTTTGTCTGCCGCAGTAGATCTCTCTCCTCATTGTCCACCTCAGTAGATCTCCTCATTGTCCACCTCAGTAGATCTCTCTCCTCATTGTCCACCTCAGTAGATCTCTCTCCTCATTGTCCACCTCAGTAGATCTCTCTCTCTTCTTTGTCTGCCTCAGAAGATCTCTCTCCTCTTTGTCCACCTCAGCAAATCTCTCTCTCCTCATTGTCCACCTCAGTAGATCTCTCTCTCCTCATTGTCCACCTCAGTAGATCTCTCTCTCTTCTTTGTCCACCTCAGTAAATCTCTCTCTCTCCTCTTTGTCCACCTCAGATCTCTCTCTCCTCTTTGTCCACCTCAGTAGATCTCTCTCTCCTCTTTGTCCACCTCAGTAGATCTTTCTCCTCTTTGTCCATCTCAGTAGATCTCTCTCCTCTTTGTCCACCTCAGTAGATCTCTCTCCTCTTTGTCCACCTCAGTAGATCTTTTTCTCCTCTTTGTCCACCTCAATAGATCTCTCTCTTTGTCCACCTCAGTAGATCTCTCTCTCCTCTTTGTCCACCTCAATAGATCTCTCTCCTCTTTGTCCACCTCAGTAGATCTCTCTGCTCTTTGTCCACCTCAGTAGATCTCTCTCTCTCCTCTTTGTCCATCTCAGTAGATCTCTCCTCTTTGTCCACCTCAGTAGATCTTTTTCTCCTCTTTGTCCATCTCAGTATATCTCTCTCTTCTCTTTGCCCACCTCAGTAGATCTCTTTCTCCTTTGTCCACCTCGGTAGATTTCTCTCTCTCCTCCTCAGATCTCTCTCTTCTCTGTCTGCCTCAGCCTTCTTTTGTTCTCTTCACACAAACCATCATCAACATCCAAACATTTAAAAGCATGACCAAACAAACCCTACAGGAAATGGCAAATCACTTCATTGTTAATGGTTCTTCTGTATCACGTTTTACCCTGCTCTCAGGCCAGTAGCTCACCGGTACGTCTTATTCTTGACGTTTTTGGGTTATCCTAGGTAATTTACACTATGTATGATAATTGTACTTATGCGTGCTTGTGCCTAAATAAATTTCTTTACACTTGCTGCCCATGTTCACCTAGCAATAAATAGGTACCCAGGTGTTTGTCGGATGTTATGGATCGCATCCTAGGTTGAGGACTAGGACTTTCTTTACGTAAATAAAACACAAATATTTGGGGCTCAGTCTCTGGACCCATTATGCGTCTCTAATTTTTATTACCTTCCTCAGGATGGGTATGGGTGCATAATTTTGATTTACTTTAATCGGAGAGGGGTAAAGTGCTAAATCGTAGGGTCATACAGCCCCAGGGGAATGGGAGATGCTCAAGGCATCCCCTTGAAGTACTGGTTTTCAACATTATTGTCATCTACAGGTGGGAGACTACGATTTGAACCAGTGGGACCCAGCAGAGCAGATGTTCGAGATTGAAGACTGGACCATCCATCCAAACTTTGGTGTAGGTGAGTTGAAGCAGCTGTATCGTGGATAGTAATTTTTTAATTTTTTTTGAGACTGTATCCCATACTGTAATGTGTGCCAAGTTACAAGAATACAGCTTGCAGGTCCTGCCTCTAGCCTGGCCTAACGCCAAATCTCCCTCTACTATTCCTGTCTTTGATGTATGGACACTTGTGGCAAGACAGCGATTGGAAGAATGTTTCCTCTCTTATGCAAAAGGAGTAACTGTAATAAAATCATAACATTTTCAAAAGTTGTTAGGAGACTTCATTGCAGTGTCAAAACACAAGCTGGTACTGGTTCATGGCATCAGAAGTAATAAAGATACATTTTGCTTTGCATTTATTATTATTATAATCAAAAAGAAGCGCTAAGCCACAAGGGCTATACAGCATTTTGCTTTGCAGGTGGCCACTACAACAATGATGTAGCAGTGGTGAAGGTCCAAGCTCAACAAGGTAAAGGTTTCCAGATGTCGAGGTTCGTGACGCCAGCATGCCTACCCTCTCACACGACACCCTATACCACAGGCACCAAGTGCCAAGTGTCAGGCTGGGGCCTCACTGACCGTGAGTATTGTATCCTGCCTCTCATTTTTGTACTTCCACTTCATGTTTTTATTACAATCAGGGAGATACGTTAAACCCATAAGGGTCATACAAGGCATGGGGAAAGGGAGGCAGTCATGTTCATTCCAAGGGAAGAATGGTTCCACTTCTTTGAGCAGGAGCCCCTCACTAGCATCAAGGGGTGCACTGTAAAAATGTTTAGATAATTATATGAATTGGAAAAAGCAATAGCAATATTATAATGGGGAGCACCAAACCCGTAGGGATTATACAGTGCCTGTGGGGGGATGGAAAGCATTTGGACTTCAGGGAATTGGAGCACAGATCCAATTCCCTAGATTTAAAGCCCCTCACCAGCATCAAGGAACCTCCCTTGAGGGGGGCTAATGATAAAATATAATAATAAATCATGGCTAGGTAAGTGCAGTACAAACACATTATTATTATTATAATAAAAATTAAGCACTAAACCATCGAGTGCAAGCACCAAGGTTCAGTGCATATTGATATGTGGAGTTGGTATCTTCAATTCCTCAGATCAAGAAACCTTCATCTGCACTAAGGCACCACCTTCCTTAAAGGAATTCTGTCATGTTCAGTTATTCAAACCTTATTGCCAAATCTTTAATCGTGAGCAAGCGCTAAACTCGTATGGATCATATAGGTAGGATTATTTAAATACAGCTTAGCATTTATTGCTGTATTCATGGAGAGGTGCTAAACCCATAGGGGTCATACAGCACAGCACTTTGTGAATGGGAGGTACTGGTAATCATGTATGATCCAAGAAAAGGAATTATTATAATCAAAACTAAGAGCTAAACCCATCAGGGTCATGCAGCCCAAGGAAGGTAAGAAGAATTAAAATTCCTTGGATCAAGTCCCCTTCATCCTTGAAAGTTTAGCATTTTAAAGATATAAATCTACCAAACGATCTTCCTGCACATAATGGCAGCACCAAAGACAAAGCAGAACCTTGGGAGTTCAAGACCCCCAAAACCCCTCTGTAATGAAATTAGTAATAAGAAGAACTCTGCTTCCTAGAAAGTCTCCCATATGCACCTTCCCACCAGATAGCCACCCCTAAGCCTCAGTATATTAATCAAATAAAGTGCTAAACTGACGATGGTCATAAGTCCCAATAGAAATTCTGGTTCCACCTCTGCTTGTACACCTACTCTACTGCTTTAATTTTAAAGAATTCTTTGATGAGGAACTGTTATCAAAGTTTTTTGAAAATTTATGTACAGTATATTCACAAAAAATTATAAATAACATTGTAGTTCTAGCAATTATCTGTATTCCTACAGTACATATTCTAAACATGTCTACAAAATATTCTTAAACACTTTCTACAAAATATAAAGATCTCAGCTTTAGAAAATTACATGCTCAAGGATGCACCTTCCACTATTATGCTTCAGGTTCAGGAAAATATCACAGCTACACATCTATCCACAGCTGAGAACTACTTCTCCAAGTCACAGTTGTTGCACAGCACAGAGGTCCTGCTTATGTCAGAGAGAGAGTGCGAGCAGCTGCATGGATCCCGAGGATATGGTTCTGGTATGATATGCGCAGGCTACCTTGAAGGCAAGAAAGACTCGTGCAATGGCGACTCTGGGGGCCCACTTGCTTGTAATATTGATGGTAAGTCAACTGTACTTGGGCAGAGTTGAATATTTTCTAGTGCTGTATAGCCACCTCATTGCCAGATGTGTCATGGCTTTTTGTTTTATTTGCCTATTTGTTGGTAACCAAAATACAATTAGTTAAGACCTTTATTTGTACAACACTTCACCTAACGTCAGGCTTTGTCAAGTACAGTACATCATACGTACTTGTAAAGCACTTGAAAAAGTCCAGTGTTGGGTGAAATATAGTACAAATAAAGGTGTTCACTGTAGTAATGTCTTAGCTACCAATTGTCTGCAGCTTACTATTGTTATCATTACCTATCCATTGTTACATTTAAAAGAATATCACATAATTAACCTTGTGTCTCACAGCAATCTTTAGTAAGTAAAACTGGCTAAGCAAAAAACATCTCAGAGAAATATAGGAGAGCACAGGAGGGAAACGAATCATACATTCTGTAGGCTTATTTAACCTAACCCAAAGAAAATAGTATTTTTAAGAATACAAGGGAGTGTTAAAAAACGATGTTGGGAATCAATTAAGAAAATTAGTGTAGTAAAATCAGGATAAGTTCGATGAAGACAGTAACTGACAACGGAGAGTTGTTTTCATGTATAGACAGAATGTAGTAATTATCATCATCATGCAGGAATGCTAAACCCATAGGGATTATTCTGCAACTGGGGGGGGAGGTATGAAAGGCATTCAGGCTTAATTCAGGGAATTGGAGCACAGATCCAGTTCCCTAGATCAAGAGCCCCTCACCAGCATCAAGGAATCTCCCTTGAGGGGAGAACATAGTCAAGATAGACATTCCTGTGTACATACAGAGATAAATGCCAATTTATATCTATACACTTTATGAATGTTTTAGCTGTGAATTTTTACATACCTGATACACTTCTAGTATACATTTTATATTCTAGTTTAGGAATAATATTGCTAATTTTTCTGACATCTTACAATATCCTCAAACTGTGTAATGTATGTTACAGGGTCGTATATACTACTTGGTGTGGTGTCGTGGGGAAAAAATTGTGGCAAACCAAACCAGCCCGGAGTATATACACACATCCAGTACTACTTGGACTGGATACAAAGTGTGATTAAAACTTAAAAGGACTTACTAGGTAAAAATTACCTTTCATGTTTTATATGCCTGCAGGAAGTACACAGAAAAATGGAAAAAAAGAAAACAATATACGTACATTAAAGGCTTACAGCAGAAATATAATGAGCAAGTTTAACAGATACTATATTATTTTATTTCATGGGCCATTACTGTAGTCATGGAAAGCACTAAACCCATAGGGATCAGCAAATACTATATTAGATATAAGACACTATTGACTTCAGTGGCCATATCATGACTAATTATGATTGATTTATTAAAACAAATAGTGCTAGCTATGGTATCACCAGAGATGATGAGGCTGGCAGTGGTTTTACAATAGTTCTAGTTTACTGCAATGTGCAAACTTTACAAGATTAAATCCATAGTTGTATTACATATAGTACATGTTCACCTTTCTAATAGTTTGATGGTAATACATATGTTTCTAAACTACCTACCAAAGATTGTGATGAATAGTTTGCAGTCTTGACTAAACATTAGTCAAAGTCTTTGCAAATAGATTTACATCTATATTATATGCAAATACTGTACAAGTGATAATACCATGCAACTGCAGAGGACTAGTCAGTCTTCAAATATTAATTATATGCATAGTTCTTGAGGCACCTATAATGCCAGGAGCAAGGGGCTAGCAACCTCTTCTCCTTTATAAACTACTAAATTTAAAAAGAAAAACTGCTTTTTCTTTTTAGGTCACCCTGCCTTGGTGGGATACGGCCAGTGTATTAAAAAAAATTGTATAGTTCTTAAGAGTTAGCCATCTTGTTAGGCAGTCTTGAGGTAACACTTACCTAAATGTGTGTCAGTTTATAAGAGAGGTCATTTATTATTGATGATTAACAACATTTAAAGAAGTATTCCTTATACACTATCATAAGGTAATGATTAATAAAGCCTAATGTCACTTTTATCATGTAGTGGCTTATGTAAATATTTTAATTTTTCAATAATTTGAATATTTCATTTTGTAGATATGCCTTTAAAAGTATAGCAGCTAGTCTCTCATTTTCTTCACACAACATTTAGTGCCAAGTTTAGACTCATCTCATTTAAATTGATAATGCCACTTTTCCCATTTTCACCTTCCCTCCATCCCCCACATATACACATAAATACCCAGTATAAGAAATGCTTTCAGGAACCTCAAAAAAAAAAAAAATCAGAATAGTAGTAGTGTACAGCACCAGTATGAATTTTAAATGTTCTCAATCATATAAGACAGCTCAAAGAGGTCCTGAAATGCACTATCAGTCTAGTCCTTGAGGTTAGTAACCTAAACTATGAAGGCTGACTTAAGTGTTGGAGAAGGGTGGAACCAGGATGAGGGGGAGACAACTGATGTGGTCAGGACAAGGGGGTACAACATAGCACTGAATATCAAAATGAGCCAAAGAGGTTCAGTGTCAGGATGAGCAAGTGGAACACTAGAGAACAATAATGGAGGCACTCTGTACACAAAATCAAAGGTTCGTTGTGCAGAATGGGCTTAAGAGAGAAATCACATCAGACAATTAGTGGTTGTGTGCATATGGAAGATTGAGCTAGACCTATAAACACATGTTAGGTACTGTACTCACAAGCATGTATCATCAGCAGCAAAGAATCAGGGAAATAGTCATGAGTAACAACAGGGAAGTATGTAAGAAATACCTCAAAATATACCAGGAGGTATTTAAGATATAATTTACCAGAGGAACTTTAAGAAATACTGGAATAGATAGTAGGAACAGAAGAAATAAAAATTTATCTGAAGGAGCTGCATGTTGGAAACCCAGTGGGACAGGTAGGACCTTAGTATATATATAGTATATTGAATGAGAATAAATGGTTAAAAAACTGGCAAGTTGATAAATGAGACACTTGTGGAACATTTGGTTATTTTTTTTCTGAAAATGTTTTGCCAGCCAGTGACTTCCTCAGTCCAATGCATTGGACTGAAGAAGCCATACTTATCTTGATATCATCAATGACTTTCCTGGAGAGATTGAGTCTTGCATATCTATATTTGTAGATGAGGCAGACAAACAAGTTAAAAGAATTGTTAAATAAATGACTGCTTGAGGTAAATCCAACTAAGTGCAAGGTGATGAGAATTAAGAGGTGAAAAGTCAGTGGTATAGAATAATATTGGTACTGTACAAACTAAAAGGAAGACAGTCTCTAGTGTCAGAAAGAAAACTGAACTTTAAAGGTGGACATAGCATTTAAAGACTTGGAGAAACTGTGACCACAGCATATAAAATATTCAGTGGTATCAAAAAGGGAAAGAGCAGGATGATGAGAGCACAGAAATTAAATATTAAAATGAGCCAAAGAGGTATAGAAAAATCAGTATTTCACTGTGTGAGAGGTAGTGGTGATGGAGGTGGTATTGGCCACCTCTAAATGTGAATACAAATTTATAAGACAAAACTCAGAGTTGGGGATGCATCACACAAGTCAGTGTTAAGAGGTAGGGCCCAAGAGTTGGAGCTCAACCCCACAAAGTTGGACGAGTATTGAATACATATTTACATATCCTTAAATGCCTCATTTCCTCTTGAAACTGTATAGGATATTGATTGTTTAGGCAAATACCATATTTAATATATAAGGGTTTTATTCAACAAGATTACATGCTTATACATGAGTGAGTGGATGTTTTTAGTCAATGTATGCATAAGTGTCAATGATGTGTGCTTGTACTTCAATAATGCATAATTTGATATACATAATTTGCACATAGTTTATATATGATATATACAATGTTATTTATTGTTTTTATCAGCATTTCACCATTTAAGTATGAATGGAGTTTGTGAAATATAATACTAAACTTTATTTTTGTATGAGTCACCTCAGTGTCAATACGTATGGAAGAACAAAGTGTGTCCAGCTGTGTGTGTAGGCTATTCTTTATAAAGTATTAGTTAAGAACCTGGAGAGATTATTATTAGTGGGGAAATGCTAAATTTGCTGGGGTCATATAGTGCCTGGGCAATGTGTGGCAGTCAGGTTTTATTCAAGGGAGAACAGTTACAATTCCTTGGATCAAGAGCCCTTTAGCAGATCCAGGCATAACTTGATCTGAACTACAGGACAGTGATATTCATTTCATGTCATTACCTAAATATGTGCATAATGCTGCAGAACATATTATTACTGTATTATATTCGTGGAGAAGCATTAAACCCACAGAGGTCTTACAGCGCCTGGGAAACAGAAGGCAGATTTGATCCAAGGAAGTGATGAATAGCTCCAATTCCTTGGATCAAGAGCCCTTTGGCATCAATGAACCCCCTTTTAAAGGTGGCATAACATAAACTTGGGCATTTGAAATAGAGCCATATCAGACAATATAACCCTAAATAACTTTAATATGTATGCCAGTCTATTGTGTAATATAAAGATTTGTACTGTGTATCAAAACTGTGATTTAGTTGAGATGTTTGGAAACATATTTTGACATGGATAGCTCATTCATTACTGATCTCCAGTATCATATAGTTGTTAGCAACTGGATGCACAATATTACAGCTCTGAAGGTATCAGACCAGCAAATGTTAATACCGTATCTCTAGAGCTCGAAGTATTCTGATTTATATATCCTCATTACCCTACTGAAGTCTCCCATCTCATATTGATACGCAGGTGCATTACTTCATATGCAAACCCAGCCTGTATAATGAAATATGAGTGGGAAGTCATCTTGTGTGATGGAGTATGGTGGTTAAAACCATCCTGTGTAATGAATGTGTTAAGTAAACACAGTCCTTACTATACATTGGTAAAATATATAGTATTAGGGCACTTACACATTGTAATGTATCTTATGTAATGTTGACACTAATTTTCATGGGGGAAGCAGTTAACCTGTAGAGAATTTACAGCACCTTGGAAATGAGCAGTAATGAGGTATGATCCTAGGAAGGTGAGCTCCAGTTCCTTAGATCAAGACCCCTTCAGTGGCATTTAGTCACTATGGTAATGTCTAATTTACATAAAAAAATAATCCATTACTGTTGTAATGTGATGAACTTTCTATCCATTTGAAAAGTTTCCAATTTTCTCAGATTAATTAATGTAAATTACATAAATTTATTTTATAAGTATAGTATAGTATGTCATACTGCATTTTACTAATAAATGTCATGTGTCTGTAAGGAATTAAAATGATGCCTATATATAGATGAGATTTGGACATGTTTGCCTGTGAACACCTAGTCAAAGTATTAAAAGTCTTTCAACTTACCTTTTGAATTATCACTGACATCCTATTTCCTTTCCTTCATTACTTATACAGTATTATAATTACATTAGTATTATTATTGTATTCTTGGGAAAGCACTAAGTCTGTAAGGTTATATTAATAAAGTAGTGTTACATCTATGTCATACAGATAAACCTGTGATCATTAAAGTGCTGAGGAAATGGAAAGCAATGAAGTCTGATCCACTGAAGAGGAGGGTACCTCCAATTCTTTGGATCAATAGCCTTTCAATAGCATCAATGCAACCCCCTGAAGAGTTATATCAACATAAGGTAACTGGTATGTATACAGTATTCTACCTTAGCACATTTTAACAAGGAAAAGTGCTAAATACCTAAACTTAAAAAAAAAATTCTACTCAGTGCAACTAGGGCATTAACCCTTAAACGGTCCAAACAGATCGACGTTCAAATTCGTAGTGCTACAAAAGTAGATCTACTTTTTTTTACATATTTTCAAACAAAAAAAAAAGTAGATAAAAGTTTTTTTTACATGTTTTCAAATGTAAAACAAAAAAGAAGATCTACAGTTTTTTACATACTTTCAGATGTTGAAAAAACGTATATATACGTTTGGACCATTTAAGGGTTAATAAAGATTAATCACTCACTATAAAAAGGAACAGTCGTTTAGATATAGGTAGTCAAGGTTTAGATGTAGGTAGTCAAGGGTTAGATATATGTAGGTAGTCAAAGTGTGTGTGGAAACCTCTGAGAATGCAAGCATATAGATAATATACAGGTTTCATGGGGAAGTGGAGAAGAATCCTTCCTCTGTAAGCATGTATTTCATAAGAGAAGACTAAAATGCTGGGAGCAAAGGGTTAGTAACTCCCTTCTGTGTAAAAAGAAGAAAAACTTTAGTTTTCTTTTTCTGGTTACCCTGCCTGTGGGAGATGGCCGATATGTTGGAAAAAAAAAAAGTCTCGAGTATAATCAAGTAAGAAGCTACCACTCAGGGAAGTACTACTGTCCTACCAAGTGAATGTAAAGAGGAAGCCTGTATTTTGTTTTACATGATGGTAGGATTGTTGGTGTCTTTTCTTCTGTCTCACAAACATGCAAGATTTCAGGTTTATCTTGCTACTTCTACTTACACTTAGGTCACACTACACATGCATGTATGTTTATGTTTACACACTCATCTGAGTTTTCTTTGATTTGATCTTAATAGTTCTTATTCTTATTACTTTTCCTTTCATATCCATGGGGAAGTGGAATAAGAATCTTTCCTCCGTAAGCCATGCGTGTTGTAAAAGTCGACTAAAATGCTGGGAACAATGGGCTAGTAACCCCTTTTCCCGTATAGCTTACTAAAAAGAAAAAGAAGAAAACCATCAAAGTGGGATGTTTGAATGTGCATGGATGTTGTGCAAATGATAAGAAAGAGATGATTGTGGATGTTATGAATGAGAAGAAGCTGGATGTCCTGGCTTTAAATGAAACAAAGCTGAAGGGGATAGGAGAATTTCAGTGGGGAGAAATAAATGGGATTAGGTCAGGGGTTTCAAATAGAGTTAGAGCTAAAGAAGGAGTAGCAATCATATTGAAGGATAAGTTATGGCAGGAAAAGAGGGAATATAAATGTATAAATTCAAGGATTATGTGGAGTCAAATAAGGTTGGATGTGAAGAGTGGGTTATAGTAAGTGTTTATGCACCTGGAGAAGAGAGATGTAGAGAAGAGAGATTTTGGGAAATGCTGAGTAAATGCATGGGGAGTTTTGAACCAAGTGAGAGAGTACTTGTGGTTGGAGATCTCAATGCTAAAGTGGGTAAAAATGTTGTGGAGGGAGTAGTAGGTAAATTTGGGGTGCCAGGGGTAAATGAAAATGGGGAGCCTTTAACTGAGCTATGTATAGAAACAGGTTTGGTAATAATTAATACATATTTTATGAAAAAGAGGATAAATAAGTATACAAGTATGATATAGCATGTAATGAAAGTAATGTTAGATTATGTATTAGTGGATAAAAGTTTGATGGGTAGGCTTCAGGATGTACATGTTTATAGAGGGGCAACAGATATATTGGATCATTATTTAGTTGTAGCTACGGTTAGAGTAAGAGGTAGAAGGGACAAAAGGAAAATGGTAACAGCAAGTAAGAGAGAGGTGAAAGTATATAAACTAAGGGAGGAGGAAGTTAGGGTGAGATATAAGCAACTATTGGCAGAAAGGTGGGCTAATGAAAGTATGAGTAGTGGGGGGGTTGAAGAGGGTTGGGATAGTTTTAAAAATGGAGTATTAGAATGTGGGGTGGAAGTTTGTGGCTATAGGAGGGTGGGTGCAGGAGGAAAGAGGAGTGACTGGTGGAATGATGAAGTAAAAGGTGTGATAAAAGAGAAAAAGTTAGCTTATGAGAGGTTTGTACAAAACAGAAGTGTTATAAGAAGAGTTTATGTAGAGTAAAAGAAAGGGTGAGAGTGCAAAAGGAGAGATGATGATAAAGTGGGACAGGCACTGTCAAGAAATTTTGCAGAAAATAAGAAAATTTTTTGGAGTGTTATAAACAAGTTAAGAAAGCCAGGGAATGAATGGATTTGTCAGTTAAAAACAGAGTAGGGGAGTTAGTAGATAGGGAGCTGGAGGTATTAGGTAGATGGCGGGAATATTTTGAGGAACTTTTAAATGTTGATGAAGAAAGAGAGGCAGTAATTTCATGCTCTGGCCAGGGAGGTATCACACCTTTTAGGAGTGAAGAGCAGGATGTGAGTGTGGAGGAGGTGCGTGAGCCATTACGTAGAATGAAAGGGGGTAAAGCAGCTGGAACTGACGGGATCATGACAGAAATGTTAAAAGCAGGGGATATATAGTGTTGAAGTGGTTGGTATTTTTGTTTAATAAATGTTTGTTTATATAAAGGGAAGGGGGACAAAAGAGATTGTAGAAATTATAGGGGAATAAGTTTACTGAGTATACCAGGAAAAGTGTACGGTAGGGTTATTATTGAAAGAATTAGAGGTAAGAGAGAGAGTAGGATTGCAGATGAGCAAGGAGCTTTAGAGTGGGCAGGGGATGTGTAGATCAAGTGTTTATATTAAAGCATATATGTGAACAGTATTTAGATAAAGGTAGAGAAGTTTTCATTGCATTTATGGATTTAGAAAAGGCATATGATAGAGTGGATAAGAGAGCAATGATGTAGTAAATATTAAAAGTGTATTTAATAGGTAGTAAGCTGCTAAATGCTGTAAAGTTTTCATGAGGATAGTGAGGCTTAGGTTAGGGTGTATAGGAGAGAGGGAAATTACTTCCCTGTAAAAGTAGGTTTTAGACAGGGATGTGTAATGTCACCATGGTTGTTTAATATACATGTACATATTTATAGATGGGGTTGTGAAAGAAGTAAATGCTAGGATGTTGGGGAGAGGGGTGGGATTAAATTATGGGGAATCAAATGCAAAATGGTAGTTGACACAGTTACTTTTTGGTGATGATACTGTGCTTATGAGCCATTCTAAAGAAAAGTTGCAAAGGTTATTGGATGAGTTTAGGAGGGTGTGTAAAGGTAGAAAGCTGAAAGTGAACATAGATAAGAGTAAGGTGATGATGGTATCAAATGATTTAGATAAAGAAAAATTGGATATCCCATTGGAGAGAAGGAGTATGCAAGAAGTGAATATTTTCAGAGATTTGGGAGTTGACGTGTCAGTGGATGGGTTTATGAAGGATGAGGTTAATCATAGAATTGATGAAGGAAAAAAGGTGAATGGTGCATTGAGGTATTTGTGGAGACAAAAAACGTTATCCATAGAGGCAAAGAAGGGAATGTATGAAAGTATAGTGGTACCAACACACTTATATGGGAATGAAGCTTGGGCTGTAAATGCTGCAGCAAGGAGGTGGCTGGAGGCAGTGGAGATGTCCTGTCTAAGGGCAATGTGTGGTGTAAATGTTATACAGAGAATTTGGAGTGTGGAAATTAGGAGGTGTGGAGTTAATAAAAGTATTAGTCAGAGGGCTGAAGAAGGGATGTTGAGGTGGTTTGGCCATTTAGAGAATGGCTCAATGTAGAACGACTTGGAGAGCACATAAATCTGTAGGGAAAGGAAGTTGGAGTTTTGGTCATCCTTGAAAAGGTTGGAGGGAGGGGGTAAAGGAGGTTTTGTGGGCGAGGGGCTTGGACTTCCAGCAAGCGTGTGTGAGCGTGTTAGATAGGGGTGAATGGAGACGTATGGTTTTTGAGACCTGATGAGCTGTTGGAGTATGAGCAGGGTAATATTTAGTGAAGGGATTCAGGGAAACCGGTGATTTTTATATAGCCAGACTTGAGTACTGGAAATGGGAAGCACAATGCCTGCACTTTAAAGGAGGGGTTTGGGATATTGGCAGTTTGGAGGGATATGTTATTATCTTTACATATGCTTTTAAATTGTTGTATCTGGGTGCCCCTGCAAAGACAGTGATTATGAATGAGTGAAGTGAGTGTTGAATGATGAAAGTATTTTCTTTTTGGGGTTTTTCTTTCTTTTTGGGTCACCCTGCCTCGATGGGAGACGGCCGACGTTGAAAAAAAAAATTTAGAAAATTAATTTTGACAAAGTAATTCAAAATAAGAGCATGTAATTGTACTCCATACCTAAAGTTTAAACAAAGCTCTGCTTCTAAATATACAGTATCAATATGTACAAGTGGTTGTGTTGAAGTATTTATTTCTCTCTCTTTTTTCTTTAATAATTAAATAAAGAGGGACTAGTAACCCCTTCTCCTGTATTTTTTTTTTAACAAGTTGGCCATCTCCCACTGAGGTACATGTATTACTAAACTTAAAAAGAAACTTTCGTTTTTCTTTTTGTACTGCCCCGCCTTGGTGGGATGTGGCCAGTTTATTGAAAGGAGAATTACATGAAGAGTGAGGGTGTAATAATACTACTAACATCACTTTATCAATATTATATTGGAACAAGAATCTGTGCATATGCCTTCACATGGAAATAAAGTTCATAACCATAAAGATACGTACTGCAGGGCTATTGCGCAACCACCCACTGAACCACCAGGCCATGAGCAGCATAATTTTAAGCAGTACTCTATTATTTACAGCTGACAATGGCCTACCATTCACAAACATTCTTCCATCACATTCTTTATAAAAATAGTGGATAACATCAATCCAATCCATCAGTATGTTATATCATTATCAGAATAAAGAAAACCTTTCAATGATGAAAGATTCATAAATATTGTACATTACAGCCTGCATCTTACCAACTTTACTTAGCATTTTTAAATGAAAAAGTATGTTTTAATGAAACTGGCAAAATTAATTTATTCAAATAATTTTATACTATATTTGGAGACAGTGTGAACTTATAATGGATAAAATAACTAAAATACATTCACTATACCTATGTAAACCATGAGAATATTCATGCAGTGACTACTCACTTGCGAAGACTTGAGACGAGACAGAATAAGGTCAAGATCTATAGTCTACAATCACGAAGGTTGTAGTTGATAGCATTTCCACAGAGAATTCTTGATCATATTTCCCTCTGCTCCACATTTCTGTTGTGCACAAATCATTAGGCATAATAATACAGGACACCCCAACTGAAAACAAAACAGTGTGCACTAGTTATGGAGCCTTGAATAGTGCACTACAGAGGATTGAGGAGGTATGGTTATAAAGTGAGCAAATGAGCAACATATAGTTTGATGTGGATTCACCAGCTTGCAACACTTGCTGGCCTCTATATTTCTTACTCTTGCCTGTGTTATTGTTCACTTTCTTTCAAGAACTTCTTATATGCATCTTCATCCATTAGTTCATCTATTTCAGCTGGAACAGTCAACTCTAACTTGAATAACCAACCTGCAAGACAATTTTTTAGTTAAGGAAATTTTTTTATTATAAATACAATATACAAATCCATATTTAAATACAAAAACAATGAACAAATCAGAAACATCTACAATAACCAAGCAAATGTGAAATAATTTAAAAAAAAAAAAAAAAAACATCTGTCTATTGACATTTCCTTCCACTTCACTTTAGGGTTCACTCCATCTCAAATGTACGGTACATTAATTAAAGTATACTATATAAAAGTAAATGTAACACTTGTCTGCCCTGCCAGCATCAAGTTTCAGCATTCAACTTCTTTTTTTTTTTTTTTTTTTTTTTTTTTTTTTTTTTTCAACAAGTCGGCCGTCTCCCACCGAGGCAGGGTGACCCAAAAAAGAAAGAAAATCCCCAAAAAGAAAATACTTTCATCATCATTCAACACTTTCACCACACTCGCACATTATCACTGTTTTTGCAGAGGTGCTCAGAATACAACAGTCTAGAAGCATAAACATATAAAGATACACAACATATCCCTCCAAACTGCCAATATCCCAAACCCCTCCTTTAAAGTGCAGGCATTGTACTTCCCATTTCCAGGACTCAAGTCCGACTATATGAAAATAACCGGTTTCCCTGAATCCCTTCACTAAATATACCCTGCTCACACTCCAACAGATCGTCAGGTCCCAAGTACCATTCGTCTCCATTCACTCCTATCTAACACGCTCACGCACGCTTGCTGGAAGTCCAACCCCTTACCCACAAAACCTCCTTTACCCCCCTCTCTCCAACCCTTTCGAGGACGACCCCTACCCCGCCTTCCTTCCCCTATAGATTTATATGCTTTCCATGTCATTCTAACTGTGATCCATTCTCTCTAAATGACCAAACCACCTCAACAACCCCTCTTCTGCCCTCTGACTAATACTTTTATTAACTCCACACCTTCTCCTAATTTCCACACTCCGAATTTTCTGCATAATATTTAACACCACACATTGCCCTTAAACAGGACATCTCCGCTGCCTCCAACCGTCTCCTCGCTGCTGCATTTACCACCCAAGCTCACACCCATATAAGAGTGTTGGTACTACTATACTTTCATACATTCCCTTCTTTGCCTCCATAGATAACGTTTTTTGACTCCACATATACCTCAACGCACCACTCACCTTTTTTTCCCTCATCAATTCTATGATTAACCTCATCCTTCATAAATCCATCCCCGACACGTCAACTCCCAAGTATCTGAAAACATTCACTTCTTCCATACTCCTCCTCCCCAATTTGATATCCAATTTTTTCTTTATCTAAATCATTTGACACCCTCATCACCTTACTCTTTTCTATGTTCACTTTCAACTTTCTACCTTTACACACATTCCCAAACTCATCCACTAACCTTTGCAATTTTTCTTTAGAATCTCCCATAAGCACAGTATCATCAGCAAAAAGTAACTGTGTCAATTCCCATTTTGAATTTGATTCCCATAATTTAATCCCACCCCTCTCCCAAACACCCTAGCATTTACTTCCTTTACAACCCCATCTATAAATATATTAAACAACCATGGTGACATTACACATCCCTGTCTAAGACCTACTTTTACCGGGAAGTAGTCTCCCTCTCTTCTACACACCCTAACCTGAGCCTCACTATCCTCATAAAAACTCTTTACAGCATTTAATAACTTACCACCTATTCCATATACTTGCAACATCTGCCACATTGCTCCTCTATCCACTCTATCATATGCCTTTTCTAAATCCATAAATGCAATAAAAACTTCCCTATCTTTATCTAAATACTGTTCACATATATGCAACTTCTTACAATTCAAAAATGTTTAAAAACTCATAAAATAGGAAAATATTTAAAAAATAAATTGAGCATTTTCAGGTTACATGAAATATTGAGATTTCAATGATATAATGAGTGATTTCTATGACATCTTGCAATCAAAGAGAAGGCCAGGGACATTAACAGTCTGGCAGGCCAGGATAGGAAAACTAGTGTGGAGAATAGGGAATGATAGAGCACTGTGTGCAGGTTGTATGATTTATGTTAAATGCAGAAAACTTGGATCCATGCAAAAGGATCCAGCTGGAAGACATAGATGAAAATATATCTGACAATGCCATCATTTATGAAGGTAACATCCTATGATTAAATATCCCAGATAATGTAAACATAATAAACAAATGAATGGTGAAATATGACAAATATTTGATACCCTTGACTGTCAACACAGAAGTAAAATGTATTTTACCTAGAACTTCAACAATTCAAATATCTAAATTAACAATAGATATCTGGATACCTTGGATGTAAACAGTTATAAAAACAACGAAAAATCACATACCCGACTGAAAAAATATTGCTTGAGATTGTAAGCTACCTGTACAAAGTATGTGAGAATTACAAAGCAAATTGTTTAGTATGATCTGCATGACAGAATAAAATAAAGCCTTTGTGGGTGGTAGCAGGAAATACCTTCATCATAACAGCTCTGGTTGATAAGTGATGGCTGGTCCTCAACGGCAGTATTGACTGCAGTCACTTTACCAGAAACAGGAGAGTAGAGTTCACTTGCTGCTTTCACACTCTCAAGAGCTCCACACTCCTCTGCCAAAAAAATAACTAATCAAAATATTGACAATAATCATTAATCTGAATTTAAAACTGTTGAGAACGTAATACAGTACATGAAATTTCACCCTCCCAAAATCATAACGGTATTTCCGCTCTATGACACAATCAACTAAAAAAATACAATGGCAGTCACAATAATAACTTCAGCAGCTAGCCTGCAGAACTTTATCCAAGTTAATTATTAGAGGTAATCTGCTTGACCTAGTTCTGGTAACAATAAGACTCTTGTAAATAATCTAAGAGTCTACCAAAGAGGTTGGCACAAGTGACCATAAATCTATAAATTTTAATATTACAGGTATAAAGGAGACACAGGTAGGGTACTAAGGATACCTAACAAGGAAAGAATGAAAAACAATAGTTTCATGTTTGATAAATTTAGATTTACAAGGGATATAGGAAAGCTTTAGCAACAGAGCTATAGATGACACTAAAACTTTTGGTAACTTGCTTACAGCAATAATAATCTTCCTTATTTTTGCATGGAACAGCTGTGCTATTCACATGACCTCAATATAGTAACTCCAGCACATCAACAGCTCAATTAGAGATCGGGTTTTCTTTTCCTATATACTGTAGTGTATTTGTTATAATAAACTTGATAACAAAAACACGAGATTTGGAAACCAGTTTTATCTGTACATAAGATAGGGTGCACAGTATATAAAAATGTAAGGATTTTTAGAAAAAAACGAAAAAAAAAAACAGGATGGGGTTGAATTACTCACGAAGCTGGGTTATATTCGAGTTTAAACAGCATGTAAATTCTTACCCATCTGCTCATACTCAGCGTCTACCTCTGGTAGCTGGGCATATACAATATCTCCAAGTGATTCCTGAAATTAAGAGGGAGAGCAGTATTTGATATACATTAGATTAGAGGCTTTTGAATATCTTCACAAAAGATCAACGTAAGAAATGAATCAGTCTGCCCAGGGGTGCAGGTGAGTATACATACAATACGTCTGGATCCTTCAGGGAAAATATTATTCTCTAACTCTGGTTCATCAGAATTTGCTTGAAGCTCTTGTATGTTTTAGTTTAGACATTGCATTTCGATCAATTTAATCACGAATGACAAACTACCCACGCACTACATGACCCCCACAGGTTTAGCACTTCCCTTTAATATAATTAAATGGAAAATGGAGATAATCAACGCTTGCTGGTTTTAGACCACACACACACAAACTCATTGTTTCTCCCACCAAGTGGTTTCTAGTTACACTTTCAATGTGTGGCAAGCAGTAACAGCCTGGTTAATCAGGCCCTGATCCACTGCAAGGCCTAGTTATAGACTGGGCCATGGGGGCGTTGACCCTTGAAACAACCTCTGGGTATACACCAGATATAGCTTGGGAGATGCTTTTCAGCTCTTTACTATCCTTCATTATACATACTTTTTTTTCAACAAACCGGCCATAATATATACAGAAGAGGGTTACTAGACCCTTGCTCTCGGCACTTTAGTTGCATGGCTTATGGAGGAAGAATTCTGTTCCACTTCCCCATGGAGATTCATTATACATACATACGTATATAGCCACACATGACGCTCTAACCCACTGGACCACGCAGTCAAGGTAAAACACCTAGCTCAGCTGGGCGCTTGATTCTTGTAGGATTGCATGGTCATCAGGATGGCTTATTTCCACTGGGCCCCTTTAATCCTCTTTCCCAGGGTGCAAAATAAACTATTACTATATGTAAATATTATTCACTGGGAAAATATGGTCCAATGGGTGGAAAATTAAATACTATATATGTATCGCCTCATGGTGAACAAAAATCACGCATAATGCTCTAACCTACTGGATCACGCAGTCAAGGTAAAACACCTAGCTCTGCTGGGTGCTTGCTTCTTGTAGGACTGCAGGGTCCAGTGGGTTAGAGCATCATTTGTGATTTTCGCTCACCATGAGGCGATACATATATAGTATTTAATTTTCCACCCATTGGACCATATTTTCCCAGTGAATAATATTTACACAGTAATAGTTTATTTTGCAAGTATTGTACTGTACAATATTTCCTAAAAATACTTATAGAGGGGCCACAGATATATCAGATCACTTTCTAATTGTAGCTACACTGAGAGTAAAAGGTAGATGGGATACAAGGAGAATAGAAGCATCAGGGAAGAGAGAGGTGAAGGTTTATAAACTAAAAGAGGAGGCAGTTAGGGTAAGATATAAACAGCTATTGGAGGATAGATGGGCTAATGAGAGCATAGGCAATGGGGTCGAAGAGGTATGGGGTAGGTTTAAAAATGTAGTGTTAGAGTGTTCAGCAAAAAGTTTGTGGTTACAGGAAAGTGGGTGCAGGAGGGAAGAGGAGCGATTGGTGGAATGATGATGTAAAGAGAGTAGTAAGGGAGAAAAAGTTAGCATATGAGAAGTTTTTACAAAGTAGAAGTGATGCAAGGAGGGAAGAGTATATGGAGAAAAAGAGAGAAGTTAAGAGAGTGGTGAAGCAATGTAAAAAGAGAGCAAATGAGAGAGTGGGTGAGATGTTATCAACAAATTTTGTTGAAAATAAGAAAAAGTTTTGGAGTGAGATTAACAAGTTAAGAAAGCCTAGAGAACAAATGGATTTGTCAGTTAAAAATAGGAGAGGAGAGTTATTAAATGGAGAGTTTAGAGGTATTGGGAAGATGGAAGGAATATTTTGAGGAATTGTTAAATGTTGATGAAGATAGGGAAGCTGTGATTTCGTGTATAGGGCAAGGAGGAATAACATCTTGTAGGAGTGAGGAAGAGCCAGTTTTTGAGTGTGGGGGAAGTTCGTGAGGCAGTAGGTAAAATGAAAGGGGGTAAGGCAGCCGGGATTGATGGGATAAAGATAGAAATGTTAAAAGCAGTGGGGATATAGTTTTGGAGTGGTTGGTGCAATATTTTAATAAATGTATGGAAGAGGGTAAGGTACCTAGGGATTGGCAGAGAGCATGCATAGTTCCTTTGTATAAAGGCAAAGGGGATAAAAGAGAGTGCAAAAATTATAGGGGGATAAGTCTGTTGAGTGTACCTGGTAAAGTGTATGGTAGAGTTATAATTGAAAGAATTAAGAGTAAGACGGAGAATAGGAATAGCAGATGAACAAGGAGGCTTTAGGAAAGGTAGGGGGTGTGTGGACCAGGTGTTTACAGTGAAACATATAAGTGAACAGTATTTAGATAAGGCTAAAGAGGTCTTTGTGGCATTTATGGATTTGGAAAAGGCGTATGACAGGGTGGATGGGGGGGCAATGTGGCAGATTTTTGCAAGTGTATGGTGTAGGAGGTAGGTTACTGAAAGCAGTGAAGAGTTTTTACGAGGATAGTGAGGCTCAATTTTAGAGTATGTAGGAAAGAGGGAAATTTTTTCCCAGTAAAAGTAGGCCTTAGAAAAGGGAAAGTGTGATGTCACCGTGGTTGTTTAATATATTTATAGATGGGGTTGTAAGAGAAGTAAATGCGAGGGTCTTGGCAAGAGGCGTGGAGTTAAAAGATAAAGAATCACACACAAAGTGGGAGTTGTCACAGCTGCTCTTTGCTGATGACACTGTGCTCTTGGGAGATTCTGAAGAGAAGTTGCAGAGATTGGTGGATGAATTTGGTAGGGTGTGCAAAAGAAGAAAATTAAAGGTGAATACAGGAAAGAGTAAGGTTATGAGGATAACAAAAAGATTAGGTGATGAAAGATTGAATATCAGATTGGAGGGAGAGAGTATGGAGGAGGTGAACGTATTCAGATATTTGGGAGTGGACGTGTCAGCGGATGGGTCTATGAAAGATGAGGTGAATCATAGAACTGATGAGGGAAAAAGAGTGAGTGGTGCACTTAGGAGTCTGTGGAGACAAAGAACTTTGTCCTTGGAGGCAAAGAGGGGAATGTATGAGAGTATAGTTTTACCAACGCTCTTATATGGGTGTGAAGCGTGGGTGATGAATGTGCAGCGAGGAGAAGGCTGGAGCAGTGGAGATGTCATGTCTGAGGGCAATGTGTGGTGTGAATATAATGCAGAGAATTCGTAGTTTGGAAGTTAGGAGGAGGTGCGGGATTACCAAAACTGTGTCCAGAGGGCTGAGGAAGGGTTGTTGAGGTGGTTCGGACATGTAGAGAGAATGGAGCGAAACAGAATGACTTCAGAGTGTATCAGTCTGTAGTGGAAGGAAGGCGGAGTAGGGGTCGGCCTAGGAAGGGTTGGAGGGAGGGGGTAAAGGAGGTTTTGTGTGCGAGGGGCTTGGACTTCCAGCAGGCATGCGTGAGCGTGTTGATAGGAGTGAATGGAGACAAATGGTTTTTAATACTTGACGTGCTGTTGGAGTGTGAGCAAAGTAACATTTATGAAGGGATTCAGGGAAACCGGCAGGCCGGACTTGAGTCCTGGAGATGGGAAGTACAGTGCCTGCACTCTGAAGGAGGGGTGTTAATGTTGCAGTTTAAAAACTGTAGTGTAAAGCACCCTTCTGGCAAGACAGTGATGGAGTGAATGATGGTGAAAGTTTTTCTTTTTCGGGCCACCCTGCCTTGGTGGGAATCGGCCGGTGTGATAATAAAAAAATAATAATAAAAAATAATACTTATAGTACAAAGGCTAACCAACCTTCTTAACTGCAATTAATACAGGTCCTTAATTATATGAACTGCAAATGCATGGTGGTTTGTGAGTGATAACTTCCCCTGGGGGTTGATGCCACCTGGCAGCTCTCTCTCACTAACTGATGAGAGGTGGATGACTGAGATGGAAGAGAAGAAGCACTGAGAATGTATTTAGCTCTTGGGGTACACTTAGTAGTGGCCTCAGCTCACTCTGTGGGGACCAGAGTTTGATCCTCGGACCAGTGGAAACACTGCAATTGTCCTTGCATGGATTCCAATGGAAATAAGGCACTTTGCCTTTTTGGGGGGTTATCCTAGGTAATTTACACAAATGTTACACTGTAAGACAATTTTAATCATCCAAAAAATTGTGTAAAATTGCATTTAATTAAACTTATTTACATCTGCTGCCCCTGTTAACCTAGCAATATGTAGGTACCTGAGTGTTAGCCATCTAGTGTGGGTTGCACCCTGGGAAAGAGGATTAAAGGGCCCCAGTGGAAATAAGCCATCCTGATGACACAGCTTTATTGGGTTATCCTGGGCTACTAACTCTTCAAGTTAATAGTCCAAACTAAATCATCATCATCTTCCAAACAGATGTCAGCTGGCCTGAAAACACCAAGTTTAAGTGTCATCTGAATCACTGCAGTCTTAACAACACGAAACTATGAGACAACAAAGGGAGTGCAGGTGTGCAGGCAAATGTAAACAGATGACTTAAGATAGTATATGATTTGTTCAGAGTTTTAACCCAGAGGGGTGGTCACCTAGGATAACCCAAGAAAGTCAGTGCGTCATTGAGGACTGTCTCATTTCCATTGGGGTTCTACAATCTTGTCCCCCAGGATGTGATCCACACCAGTCAACTAGCACCCAGGTACCTACTTACTGCTAGGTGAACAGGGAGAACAGGTGTAACAAAGCACGCCCAATGTTTCAACCCATGGTGGAGACAAACACAGACACTCAATGTGTGAGGCGAGTGTGTTGCCAACCGAGCCACAGGATTTATTGGGTGAAGTGAATCAACATTTTATTAGTACACTAGTGTTGGTATACAGTTGTGCCAACTAGCTGCTGTTCATATAACCGCTAGAAATTTAAAAGTATACTATAATACAAGCAAGATTAAGTGCTGAAAACAGGACATCACGAGCATAGCTGTGTTCCTGTTGCCAACAGGTAAGTACTGTAACTGCAAAATAGTAATCATGGAACATAAAAAACACAAACTTACCTGAGCATAATTTGTAATACCAATAGTTCCAATGTTGTCTTCAACTGCAACCCATTCATGCTTCTCGGTATACTTGCGCTCTGAAAAGGTATAGGTACAAGTTTGTGAAAATTACATATGGATCCTGAATCATACTCTACAGTATGTCATGTCTCTGACACCTTATGCTTGTAGCTTGGTCGGAGCATGTTATTACAGACATGAGGGAGCACTGAAGTGTACCCTGTGTACAGTGTAACCTCAGCAGTGCCTTGTCTTAGGGATAGGTTGATATTACCTGTGTATGATGAGGACACCATTTTTTGTAATTACCAAAATGATAGAATCATAAATTGAAAACATGAAAATGCCCCCATGAACAAAAGTATTAGTTGCACCTAGGCACCTTACTTGAAATTATTAAGTAAGTTTATTTAGGTATAGGTACATGTGAGTACAGTTACACAAATCATATAGTAACGTATGTGTAAATCATTTAGGATAACCCAAAAAAGTCAGTGACTTATTTCCACTGGGGGAGAACTGGACTTATAGGGGTCATACAGCACCTTGAGGGAATGGGAGGCACTCTGGTTCAATCCATGGAAGGTGAACGTAGGTCCAACTCCACAGATCAAGAGCCCCTCAACAGCATCAAGGAACCTCCCTTGCAGTGACTTTGCTTAAAGTGCTCACAGAAAGGGAGGAGAGATTTCTTGTATAGCTAACATTCATGTACCTATCACTGTAAGCCGATCCTCTCATTAATGTTAATGTAAATTAACTCAAGTTTACCTTATTCCAAGCATATCTCCTTTCACTGTTAACTGATTTTCACACAGTTGAGTTACTTAGCTGTCTTAACTTTTAAGGTTTAAATATTACAAGGGCCCCAATGGAAATAAATTACTAACCTTTTTTTGGGTTATCCTGGGTAATTTACACTATGTATGATAATTGTACTTATGTGTACCTGTGCCTAAATAAACATACACAACAGCAAACAAATAGTTTCATCAGTTATGAAGACACTGTGGTGAACATTTCTTCAAAAGCACTCTCTAAGTTTTTTCTAATATGAGATGGAAGGTATTCATGCCTGGATGATTTATGAGGTCGTTTGCTCTTTCAAGAGGAAAGGGATGAGCAGCATTGCCAGTCTTTTTCCTGGTTATTTTATTTATATATTTCCAAGCCAAACTTAAAGGGGTAGACCTATTTAACCCACTAACAAACTGTTCCCATTCCTTTTGCCTAAGTTCTTGCTTTCTATTCTTTGCACATGCTAGTGCAGCTTGGAATGTTCTGAGCAGGTCTGGGGTTCTACATTCATGGTAAGCTTTACCAATCCTCTCTTTTTGATTATAACAATAATAATTTACCAATCCTCCTAGCTGCATGTGTTAGATTGCGTAGCTGTGGATCATTATAGTATTTACATTGGTTTTTATTGTCATTTATAGTGGAAGGTTTATCTAAAAATCTGAGGTGAACTGTACCATAGCTCATTGCTCTTGTCTGCTACAACTACCCACCAATCTTGTAAAGATCATGAAATATCAGATACAGAATATCTAAATCGTCTATTTCATTGTTAATGATTTATATCTCATATGTCCAGCAGGATCCAGACCTGGCCATTAGTAATTTATAATCACTATATCCATCAATACATCACACACAAATATACCAATAGGGACTCAACAGATACATTAGCAAATAAACTGTGATTAGTATTTATCTCTCCTTTCTCCCACTACTGTGAGTAATACAATTTAGAGATAAAAGTGGAGTTAGAAAGTATAAAGAGAAGACGATTGCAAGTACCAGACGGCGTCTCAGTTCTCCACCACACATTACCACTTCAGTTTATGGTTATTTAAGGTGGTGTCCTCACCTGCTAGCAAGGTGGCGGCGTAGGTGAGGTGTCTATGGAGAGTGTGAGGCAGGAGAGTGACGGTATACAGGTGGTGTGAGGCAGATAGTCTGGGGAGAAGAGAGCCCACACCGTGAAGTAGAAGTCGAGCCATGTTGGTGATCGCTGCTGCTGACCCACTCATACCTCCCCCCTCCTGGGGGAGGAGGAACCCACCTTCATCATGCTGAGGTGCCTTACATCTCCTGGGGTCACTTCAACCTACTGAAGAACCTTCATCTTACGGAGAGCTTTCATTCTGCTTAGGAACCTTCGTCTTACGGAGAGCTTTCATCCTGCTGAGGAACCTTCTTTGTATTGAGGAACCGTAATTTTGCAGAGCTTTCATTCTGCTGAGGAACCTTTATCTTACGGATAAAATGATAGCTTTCATTCTGCTGAGGAACCTTCATCTTACGGAGATAAAATGATAGCTTTCATTCTGCTGAGGAACCTTCATCTTACGGAGATAAAATGATAGCTTTCATTCTGCTGAGGAACCTTCATCTTACGGAGATAAAATGATAGCTTTCATTCTGCTGAGGAACCTTCATCTTACGGAGATAAAATGATAGCTTTCATTCTGCTGAGGAACCTTCATCTTACGGAGATAAAATGATAGCTTTCATTCTGCTGAGGAACCTTCATCTTACGGAGATAAAATGATAGCTTTCATTCTGCTGAGGAACCTTCATCTTACTGAGATAAAATGATACCTTTCATTCTGCTGAGGAACCTTCATCTTACGGAGATAAAATGATAGCTTTCATTCTGCTGAGGAACCTTCATCTTACTGAGATAAAATGATAGCTTTCATTCTGCTGAGGAACCTTCATCTTACGGAGATAAAATGATAGCTTTCATTCTGCTGAGGAACCTTCATCTTATGGAGATAAAATGATAGCTTTCATTCTGCTGAGGAACCTTCATCTTACGGAGATAAAATGATAGCTTTCATTCTGCTGAGGAACCTTCATCTTACTGAGATAAAATGATAGCTTTCATTCTGCTGAGGAACCTTCATCTTACGGAGATAAAATGATAGCTTTCATTCTGCTGAGGAACCTTCATCTTACTGAGATAAAATGATAGCTTTCATTCTGCTGAGGAACCTTCATCTTACTGAGATAAAATGATAGCTTTCATTCTGCCGAGGAACCTTCTTTGTACTGAGGAACTGTGATCTTACGAAGAGCTTTCATCCTGCTGAGGAACCTTCATCTTATGGAGAGCTTTCATCCTGATGAAGAACTTAAATCTTACAGTGCTGAAAGTCTTCAAACCTAAAAAGAGCTCTGATTTTGCTGAGCCTTCATGTTGTTGAGAGCTCTTATCTTGTTGAGAGCCTTCATCTTGCTGAGAGCTATCCTGCTGAGAGCGTTCATGTTGTTGAGAGCTCTTATCCTGCTGAGAGCCCTCATGTTGTTGAGAGCTCTTATCCTGCTGAGAGCCTTCATGTTGAGAGCTCTTATCCTGCTGAGAGCCTTCATGTTGTTGAGAGCTCTTATCCTGCTGAGAGCCTTCATGTTGTTGAGAGCTCTTATCCTGCTGAGAGCCTTCATGTTGAGAGCTCTTATCCTGCTGAGAGCCTTCATCATGTTGAGAACCCTCATCCTGCTGAGAACCCTTACTTATCACCCTTCCACTCCCCAGCCAGTGCTTGATTCCAAAGGGTTTTGTGTTTCACCAATAATAAAATTATTATTATTGGTTTTCCTTGGTTAAAATTGCATACTATACTATACCTGGATACCATTATTATTATTATTATTGGTGTTCCTAGATTAAATGTATAAAACATACTGAGTGTTTATTATACTAGTTATTATATTAAACTTAGGAATTTGGGAAGTACAATGCCTGCACTTTAAAGCAATGCCTGCACTTTAAAGGAGGGGTTTGGGATATTGGCAGTTTGGAGGGATATGTTGTGTATCTTTAAACGTATATGCTTCTAAACTATTGTATACTGAGCACCTCTGCAAAAACAGTGAGTATGTGTGAGTGAGGTGAAAGTGTTGAATGATGATGAAAATATTTTCTTTTTGGGGATTTTCTTTCTTTTTTGGGTCACCCTGCCTCGGTGGGAGACGGCCGACTAGTCAAAAAAAAAAAAAAAAATTAAACTTAGGGGCAAGTGCTAAACCCACAAGGTCATAAAACACCCTGTGAATGGGAGCAATTCAGGCTCAGTACAAGGAATTGGAGAATAAGTCCAATTCTTTGGATCAAAAGCCCTTCTCTGGCATTTAGGAAGCCCCCTTGAGGGGAAGTATAATTTTAAAACCATCCTGTATGTTGGAGCATAATCTGAATTATTGCAGTTGGGGAAGTGTTAAACCCAGAGGGATTATACAGCACCTGGGAAATGGGAGTCAGTCAGGTTTGATCCAAGAATGAGAAAGACATATCCCCTTCCTTGAATCAAGAGCCCTTCACCAGCTTCAGGCTGTTTTATGCTGTGTAAATCTAATTTTCTCTAAGCCATTATAGCTATTGACTCAGTGGTAGTGCCCTCAGCTCAACCAAATGATCCAGGTTCTATCTTGGAGCATAATTCCTTACATTTTTTGCTGTTAACCTATCAATAAATAGATACCTGAGTGTTAGCTGACTTGTAGTTGCATCCTGGGGTAGAGGACCAAAGGACCCTAATAGAAATAACCCACAATGCTTAGCTGTCTTGAAGTATCCTGGACTGCATTATAAAGTTATTAGCCAGTCAGTTGAGGCATTTACAAATTATCTTATGAAACTCAGCATTTCAATTTTTCCATATTCATCCAAAATAAATTTAAACCATCCTCATGGTTAGGTACACTAGCAGTTAAGGTTTGAAATCAATAAGAAGAGCAATGCTCCAGTTATTGCAAGGAAACTAATTTGTACAATAAAACTGGCAAATTGAAACTTACACAACCCAAAATCAATGTGAAGCTTCCTTTGAGAAAAAACACATCAGTGATAACAGTTTGAAGCTGACTTTAAAATGCATTCTCCAGTTAGCACACAGAAACAAACACTATTAGTTTATTAACTATGTTAGCAAATTGGTAAAGTTGCACCTACACAATCTAAACCTAAGGGATATTACCCACAGTCATCCACCTCAGCCTGTGACTCACAATTACCCACCTCAGTTTGTGACTCACAGTCATCCACTTCAGCCTGTAACCCAGTCATCCACCTCAGCCTGTGACTCACAATCATCCACTTCAGCCTGTGACCCACAGTCATCCACCTCAGCCTGTGACCTAGTCATCCACCTTAGTCTGTGACCCACAGTCATCTACCTTAGTCTGTGACCCACAATCATCCACCTCAGCCTGTGACCCACAGTCATCCACCTTAGCCTGGGGACTTATTTATTTCATAGACAACTTGGTCACTGATGTTCTGTGATCTCATTTATCCATCGGGATGCTGTATCGTTAAACATGCACATCGTTCAGCTTCCTTGCTGCTGCTTTGGCAAGTACAAGTCTCTGTTGCACAGGGAAGCACAAGTTGCTCTATCAAATGGAAAAGAAACTGGAAAATTGACTATACAAAATTGACTAGAGGGCACTTGCGCAAGCCAATAGTTGTATGAACCTTTCTCTAGTTACAATACACCGGTCTTGAAAATTTAAAGCTGATCAGATGAGGTGTTCTCAAGGCAGTCACTTATAGATACCCCTTTGGGGATACAGTACTAAAAAATAGGATTCCTGATTGGTTTCTCCTTCAGAACATATAGAGGATGCAGCCCAAAATGTGATATTACAAACCCCTTGTCCAAGCTCCAATTCTTGTCTAACTTAGTTATGACTATAACCACAACAGAGAAACAGATTGACAGGAACAATACATAATTTTTTCCCCACCTGCAGTTGCCACCAACCTTGCTAACATGTTGTTCAGAAGCAACATTACACTCATCACTGACACTACTATCAAGGACCTTAGAGGAGCCAGACATAGCTGCCATGATGCCAAAAATAGCAGGAGTCTATATCATTCCTTGCAATGAATGTGACACCCATAACATGTGGGAAAACTGACTGGACATTGTCACACTGGTCAAAGAACACCAGTACATATACATAACATGTAATACTACAAACAATGCATGTTATACATTGAAACCAACAATTACTTCATGAGCTGGACAGATGCTAAACTGGTTACTAAAGCATGAGAATGACAGAAGATGCTTAGAATCTTTCAGCTTATACCACCCCTGAAAGTTATTCAAGCATCTGGAAGCTAACATAATAGTTTGGTGTACACCCTGATATTCCCATGCACCTCATCTTCCTTTGTCTTTACCTTCATATACATATACAACACTCCTTTTGCTCATGTATTCTCTGCTGACTTGATAAAACCTACTGTGTGGGCTAAATGTTGTTAGTACAGGTATCCACTGCATCTAAGTGTAATAACTCAACCTTGCCAGTATATTCACATACTGCTTCAGCTTGAGAGTGCTTGTGCTGTGCTGATCCAGGTCCAACTGGATGGCAATTGAAAACAGGAATCCATTTGAAGGGAAGGCAGGCATAACTGAGCTACATTATAACTATAACCATGGGGAAGTGCAAAACCTCTAGGGGTCACACAGTGCCTGAGGAATGGGTGACAATCAGGTTTGATCTGATTTATTTATAGATTTTAATCATGGAGGTAAATCTGAAGAGGCCACAGAGTGCCTGGGTAATGGGTGGCATTCAGGTTCTATCCAAGGCATCAAGGTACCTTGAGAGGTGGTTTGAACTGAGGAAGGGGAAGGTAACTCAAATTCTTTGGAACAAGAGTTTCACAAGCATTAAACCACCACAATGGAAATAAAGCCACATTGTTTGACTTATTGCATCTATTTTTGGCACCTATTTTTACTAGACAGTATTCATTCATGCCCTGCAACTACCTCTTTAATTAGAGCAAGCATTTTTTGCTAATTTTGTTATTCTCGGTTAGATTAATACATAATAACCTATATTTACATATTATTAACCTATAATTACAAAATAAATAAACAGATAACTTACATCAGGCAGCATGGAATGTATCATACTACTGTGACAAACAAAAGCATCAATGTTGTGCTTTCCCAAACTCAACGACAGAGGATGAGCTGACCTCTGTGTTACCTGTTTTCACTAGGCAGTGGCCATTAATGTCCCTCTGTATACACACTGTGTAGTGCCGAAGAGTTTTCTTATGCATCAGTGTTAAAACAATAAAAAAATCAAAGGACTGCTAATGAAGTGTAACTCGAAGTCCTAAGAGCACCCCAATATTTTTTTTTTTTCAACATGCCGGCCATCTCCCACCGAGGCAGAGTGACCCCAAAAAGAAAACTATAAAGTTTATCTTCTCTTTAAATTTAGTAATTTATAAACAAGGGGTTACCAGCCCCTTGTTTCTTGTTTTGTAATTAGTTTTATTTCATGATTACCCTCTCCATAGGTGACAGCTTTCAGGTTGCTAGCTGGACAGTAGTTTTAAAACATAAGGATTTATTTACTGAAACTGATGAAATAATTCCATTACTTTGTAGTGTTTATTAAATGTTATTATTAGAATGTATTAAATTTACATAAAATTTGGTAAATTTAAAATTCTACGTAATATCAAACATACAATACAAAATAGAAATTAAAGCTATGTTAAAAAATATTTGATACATTTTGTCAAAATCAATACTGTATTACATAAAAGCATAATGCCAACAAGTGATAAATAAAGACTTAATGCAGTGGCCTTTATTGGTACAACATTGTACTATTCCTTGTAAAATTTTGTACCAATTAAGATTTCCTTACATTAGTGACTACCACCAAAATTAACTGAGTAGATGGGCCAGTATGTCACACTTATAAAATGCACATTTAAATTTTTATTACTTTTCATAGGATAAAGGCTACCAAGGTTCTCTGTTCTGCTATTGCATTATCGTAAGGTGAGACACAAGAATAACATGCACTTTTAAGTTAATCAGGTACATACTAAGGGAGACACTATGCTGTGGCTGTTTCTTACATGATATTTACTAAATATTTAAATATTTCTTGAAAAATGAAGTTTGAGCATTCTCAACTAAGTGATACATGCAGCCATGGCCAAGTGTTGACTACAGATTAAAAAAATCCTTTAAATTATTTTCAAAAACTTTCACACATTGAATTTATACCTCTATCAAATTATAAGCAATATGAAAACCTTATTATCACATATTTGATAAATTCTGGCAACAGTGACATGACCTTACCTCCTATGACATTCACTAATCTTCTTTTGTATTTTGGTTCGTTATTGGCTGTAATAAGCATATACAGTGGACCCCCGGTTAACGATATTTTTTCACTCCAGAAGTATGTTCAGGTGCCAGTACTGACCGAATTTGTTCCCATAAGGAATATTGTGAAGTAGATTAGTCCATTTCAGACCCCCAAACATACACGTACAAACGTACTTACATAAATACACTTACATAATTGGTTGCATTCGGAGGTGATCGTTATGCGGGGGTCCACTGTATCTTGGCACATCTCACAATTACGCAAGCATAAAATTGGCACAGAAAAGTATTACAAATTATTATTCGTACTCTTACTTTCTAGATTTTTTCACGTGCTAACTGCAGTTCTTTAGTTTTCTGAACAATCCATTGACAACTTTCCTGATAGTCACAGGAGTGGCACTTCCAGGCATCTTCAATATCAACTCCTCGGCACTGCCTCTCACCTTTCCAGTATGCTAGGCATCTTGTCATCTGAGTTTCCAACCAGATTGCATCATATTTGACCTTATAAAAGGGAAATACATATATAACAGACTGTGGCAGTTACTTATCTACATGTAGATTATTTTTTCACTGAACACAAGCATAACTTCCAAAGAAAGTAATGATTTGAATTACTACAACTTCATCACAGATGTTTCATATATACTGTATTCGCTAACAATCAAAATATTTATCGACAAAGAATCTATCTTCTTTTATAGATCAGATGTCTTGCAGGTATAATTCTCAGGACTTCCTGGTGCAAAATACAATCAAATCTCACAAAAGTATAGTTTTCAGGGCATGTAAGCTTAAAAGACAATCAGATCTCACACAGATTCTCAGTACATTCTAGTACTGTACAAAAGACAATCATCTCTTATGTAAATACAAACCTCAAGACATCCTACAACAAAAGATAATCAGAGCTCATATAGGCAAAGTTCTCAGGGTATTCTAGCACAAAAGATATAATTAATATGTAATGTGCCTTCTGAAAATAAAATTACTAATGGCTATAATTAAGATATGCATAATCATTTTACTACTTCTGTAAAAAGCATCTACAATTTCCACATGGTTATTTATGACCATTTCTTGTTTTTTAATATCATAATAAATATGTCATGAGCATATTGTCTTAATGAGTATGTCTTAATGAGCATTATTAAAGGCTTACCTCTTCTAACAGGAATGATTGGTTATCCTCCTGCCATATGTAGTCTATAAAGAGTTGGTTAATGAATGGTAAACTTTCTGCTGCTTCCTTAACTTCATCTAACAACAGAGACAAAGTCAGTGGCATCTCTGAAAGACAATATTGTACAATTAGGCTCACTCATAATACAATGAAGCACAGCTGAAACTGATTTTTAATAAAATGTGTCATTTCTTATATTAAACTTTTGACAGTGTTAAATACGTACTGTATTCTGTGTATTGTTTGATGAAACAAGAAGAAATAACAGCTTGTCTGATTACCTCTGATTTCCCCCAGTGTTTGAGCTTTCCCCTAATATTTTTTAAACCTAGTTTACCCCTTCTGTTTTTTTTTTTCTTGGAATACCCAGTTCCTTTTTATTAGCTAGTAGTAACTAGCTATTATTATCTAGTAGTAACAGACAGTCATATCAACCATAGTAGGAACAGTTAACATGGGTAGGTGGTACTCTCCACTGTCAATCAACCCTTGCCCAATCATGTTAATGCAGCTCTCCAACCTGTAAGTGTGTGTGTGTGTGTGTATGTGTGTAGAACTCTGGAGGCCCAATCCTTCATTAGGAACTTGATTCTCAGATCTCAAGACAAGACTGGAGAGTGTACTAACTTGGCTATGCCATTCTCTATGCTGGGATCAGAGCCTCAAAGGTTTCCTGACTTTATTCACTGAAGCTGAGCACTGCAAAATGAAACTGGGAAAAAACTTGTGCAAACAGTTTGGAGAACCTGGCCTATTGCTGGGTTTTAGAAGTAGAAAAACTCTCAAAACTCATCAAAGGTAGCTGAAAATCTTTGATTCATTGCTTTCACTTACCTGAGACACTACTGGGCTCCAGGTGATAGGAAAGACACCATGCAACACACACTCTACTACAGATTTCAGCTGTCAGTTGGCAGTGCAAGTGTTGGAGAGAAATTCTTGAATATCTAGCAGAATTGAAAGACAAAGACTAGCTAGGTTGAACTGATCTGCACTCTTAGCCAAGATACAGATTGTGCTAAGGTTCACCTTAATTTGTCTTGACTGATGAGGAAACTTGCTTTCTGAAATGCTTTGACTACTCGCCTGAGACTGATGAAAGTTGAAAATGAAGTCAAGCCTACCACCCAGAATGGAGATGCTGGGTTGGTAGTAACAGTAAACATTCTGGGTTCATGTGGGTACTGACTCCTCACTGACAAGTATTTGTTATACAGTGATGCATAAACAAATCAACAGAGCACATACATTCAAAATGCAATCACTGTATTGTAGTTTATTAATACTTTAACAGTAGTTATAGCAAACTGTTCAAAGATGTAAATTCTGATTAAAGAATTATAAATTAACATGACAATGCATTACTCACTCTTATCATGACAATGTAATACTGCATGACTGCTATGAATATTTTCAGTTACACTCTCCCCCAAGGCTTTGTCAAGATCCAACTGAAGAGTAACTGTGAGGCTGTGGCGAGGGACGAGGCCACGCACTAAGTCGTCAAAAAGACGTTTGTACAGCATTATCTATGGAGAGACAAGTATCATATGTACCTAACTACTTGCTGAAATTAGTACAGCACCATTCTTTTCCTTTCCCTTCCATTTACCCCTACTACTTCTTTTCTATTAAGCTCTGTATTTTAGCCTCATTAAAGAGTAATTGCCTATGTAATCTTTAAGATACATACAGTAATACAAAATGTATATACTGTACCTATTCACGAGTAGCTAAGTAATCACAAATATAAACACAAAAATGTATATATACAATATATATATATATATATATATACAATATATATATATATATATATATATACAATATATATATTATAAAGGAGGTTTTGTGGGTAAGGGGCTTGGACTTCCAGCAAGCGTGCGTGAGCGTGTTAGATAGGAGTGAATGGAGACGAATGGTACTTGGGACCTGACGATCTGTTGGAGTGTGAGCAGGGTAATATTTAGTGAAGGGATTCAGGGAAACCGGTTATTTTCATATAGTCGGACTTGAGTCCTGGAAATGGGAAGTACAATGCCTGCACTTTAAAGGAGGGGTTTGGGATATTGGCAGTTTGGAGGGATATGTTGTGTATCTTTATATGTTTATGCTTCTAGACTGTTGTATTCTGAGCACCTCTGCAAAAACAGTGATAATGTGCGAGTGTGGTGAAAGTGTTGAATGATGATGAAAGTATTTTCTTTTTGGGGATTTTCTTTCTTTTTTGGGTCACCCTGCCTCGGTGGGAGACGGCCGACTTGTTGAAAAAAAAAAAAAAAAAAAAACATGTATAAATAGCACTAAGATACCAGTAGTCACTGAAATTGTGCACTGGGCATGAAAAACATGGAGGGTGCCCAAGGAAAGGCAATACAATATGCAGTTCCTCTGTGCAAAGAGTAAGGGGACAAAAGTGTAAGAATTATAGATTAAGAGGCATGTTGAATATGTAATGTAAAGTGTATGGCAGTAATGCAGTTTATAGGCTGATTTTAAAGAAATGGAAAGGGATGTGTGAATAAGTTGCTTGCATTGAATAAACATGTGGTGGTGGTATTTTATTCATTAGGAAGCTTGGTCATATGATGACCAGTTAACTGGAGCTTTGGATCATATGACCAAAGCTTTCTGCTGGCTTACCATTTTACCCTACAAAAATTAAAGACCACCTTGTGAATCTGTGCATAAGAACTCAGCTAAGGGAAAGTGAGTGGTTGATGCATTCAGGGATTTTTTTTAAGGTTTATGACAGTGTGGATTAAAAAGTGATGCAAATGTATGGAATAGGTATGTGTAGTTAAAAGCTATACTGTTTTTATGAGTACAACACAAGTGTAGGAAAGACAAGGAAGGCTTCCCAATAAAAGTGGGTTTTAGATAAGCACAAGCTGTATCATCATGGCTGCTTAGTGCGCTTGATGACAGCACTGTATGAAAAGTGATTAGTAGAGTATTAAGGAGAGGTGCAGTTTTGAAGATTAACAAGTTTACAGTCGTCACTGCTTGTGATAATACAGCAATTGGGAGTTTAAAGAGAAAAGATGAGATGACAAATTGTTACATAATGGTTTTATACAGAACTGTATACCCAAGGGTCATACAGAAGTTTCAAAGAAGAAGTAAAAGTAGATAGAGAATGCAGGAGGGAAACTGAAAGCAGAAAAAGTAATGAAGATTACAACATCTTAAACAACTCAGCACCAACTACAAGGTGAACGAAGGGGCAAGGATACCTAAAGCAAAGTGACCATAGTGAGGAGCAATGTACCCATTTAGTTTACAAATCAGTGGACCCCCGGGTTAACGATATTTTTTCATCCAAGAAGATGTTCAAGGCAGTACTGACCGAATTTGTTCATAAGGGGATTATGTGAAGTAGATTAGTCAATTTCAGACCCCCAAACATACCACGTACAAACGCACTTACATAAAAACAATACCATAATTGGTCGCATTCGGAGGTGATCGTTATGCGGGGGTCCACTGTAATATATTCTTTGAATGATGATTTATGGAGAGGAGATGGCAAAATACACATGTCCTACTAAGCCCTGTACAGCTGGTTGCTTGCCTGTAAAACCCCAGTGGGATTGATATATGTAAAGACTGGGGAAAGGATGGGGTAAAGAAGGCCTAGAGTACTATGGGATGGGAGATCCAAAAGGTTTGTGTGAGAGCATTAGATCAGAGTGAGTGGAGGTGGGTGGTTTTTGTGACCTGACAAGCTGCTGGAGTGTGACACAGATAATATTTATAAGGTAACTGAGGGGAAACCAACTAACTGGCCTTGAGTCCTGAAGGTAGGAGGCCCAGTGCATGCACTCTGAAGGAGGAGTGAAGGAGGAGTGAGATTGTCACAGTTCAGAGGACTATCCAAACTGTGATGTAGGCACACTTCTCACAAGACAGCAATTGAATGAGTAATGGTAAATGTGTTTCCTCTTATTTTTGGTTACCCTGCTTTGACAGGAGACAACCTGTGCATTAAAAAGATAGGGGAAAAAGGTTAGCATTCAAAAAGGGTGGCATTCATTTGAGGGATGGATATTTTTATGTGAAAGATGATGATACAAAATCAATGACAAGAACACGAGGAAAGATGGAATAAATAACAAAAAGGCACAGTACCATGACTTTGGCCTCATGACTCTAGTCTCTTCCAATCATTTCTTGATGCCATTAATAATCTTGCCCCTTCCATTAAGTTTAAAGCTGAATGGGAATCTAATTCTGTGCTTCCTTTCCTTGATGTTCAAGTCCACCGCTCAGATACAGGTTTTGCTTTTTCAGTGTACCGAAAACCTATGCACAGTGGAATGTACATTCACTACTTTTCTTATCATGCTCCCTCTGTCAAGAAAAGTGTTCTTATTTCTCTTGTTCTCCATGCTCTCCGCATTTGTGATCCTCAGTTCCTTGAATCAGAAATTTCCACTTCAAAATTCATTGTCTCGTCTTAGTTACCCTTCCCATTTCATAGACTCTGCCTTCTCACATGCTAAATGGATTTTCTTCTCTCCCAAACTCTCTGCTTCTGGGAACTCTCATGTCCTCTACCTTCCCTGTATTTCCAGTATTTCTAATCTCAACAACTCTCTACGTTCCTTAGACATCAAACTTACTTTTTGCCAGACTAACAATCTTTGCACTAATCTACTTCATACCTTACCTCCTTCTATAGATGTTCCTGGTGTCTACTCTATTTCCTGTTCCTCTTGTCCTCTTCAGTACTTTGGAAAAACTGGCTGTTCTCTTTCTGACAGACTCAGGGAGCACAAAAGTAGTGTTAGGCTTGCCAATACCAATAATGCTCTTTTCAGTCATGTCAGAGATCACAGTCATCCTATTGACTGGTCTTCTGCTAAAACTTTCTACCCTACTTCTAACTTTCACAGTCACCATCTGGTTGAATTCTCCTTTATACACAACTTTCCTTGTACAAATCTTAGTCCTGGCTTTGTCTCTGTAGATGCCTTCCTTTCCCAATACGTACATTGAAAATGCTCTAAACTTCAGAACACCCGTGACTTAACCTGATTATTTTTTCTATTTCTCCCTCTTTCCCTTTCCTCCTCCTCCTTTCTCCTTTGGGCTTTCTTTCTTCTGCCTTGGGTGTTTGGTCCATTATTATTTTTCCCCCCCTCTGTTTTTGTTTCTACCCTTTGTGGGTCCCTAGCTCCCTTGCAGTGCTCCTCTTTCTTAGTCTTTGACTGACTCCACTACTTCTACTACTACTTCCACCACTACCTCTCTTCCTTTCCTGCTACCTCTCTTGTCCTGTCCCTGTCTGCTGGCCTATATACACTCCCTCCTTCTCTCCTTTCTGTCAGTGTGACTTTGTAAATGGTCCAAGTTGGACCAAAACGTCGTCTTAAGCTCCCCTCTCCTATGTGCGGGTTATTTGTATAAAGATGGAATAAGACATGTAAGGGCAAGGATGAGGGATGAAGACCTTTCCCAGCCTTCACAGATGTTGCCTTGCTGAATTGGCCATAATAAACATCCCAAACTAAAATACAGTATTCCCTACAGGTTTGGTGCTTCCTTATAAATATAATAATAATAATAATAAGACGAATAAAGACAATATTAATAATACTGTGGCAGCGACCACCAAAATTCTTTGACCTGAGAGCTGTTGGGGTTTGAGCAGGGTAATATTTAGTGAAGGGATTCAGGGAAACCGGTGATTTTGCTGGACTGGAAGTGGGAAGTACAATGCCTGCACTTTAAAGGAGAGGTTTGGGATATTGGCAGTTTGGAGGGATATGTTATATATCTTTATATATGCTTCTAAACTGTCATATCTGAGTGCCCCTGCAAAGACAGTGATTATGTACGAGTGAGGTGAAAGTGTTGAATGATGATGAAAGTATTTTCTTTTTGGGGAATTTCTTTCTTTTTGGGTCACCCTGCCTCGGTGGGAGACGGCCGACTTGTTGAAAATAATAATAATAATAATAATAATAATAATAATAATAATAATAATATAAAAAAATATTATCCCTATCATTGGTTCTGAAGGTTGTTAGAAGAAATCAACATATAAATTCTAAGGCCAGGTATCACATGTGCTAAAATATTGAATAACTAACCTGGGTGCTCTGTGTAATCTTCTGAGCTCTACCTGGAGCCTTCTGGGTTTTTCTTGTCTTAAAGTCCACAATGTCCAGACTGAAGCTTTCTCTGTCTAACCTTATTTCATCTATTTTTCCCAAGATAAAGACACCATTCACAACTCCAAAAATGGGAACTTCACGATGCACTGCTGCTGACATGGTCAGAATACTCTTTAAAGCAATCAGAAGATTAATAACCTGAAAGAATAAAGAAACAAAGAAAAACACATAAACTGAAGACTCACATTAGGTAACATATACATTAGAACCCCTGCATCTGCGGATCCAGTTTCTGTGGATAGTTATCCATGGTTTATCTTGGTCCAAAAATAACCCTTAATTTTGCTTAATAATGACACCAAAGCACAAAAGAAGTGATGCTGGTAGTTCTTCAAAGCCTCAGAGAAGCTGAGAAGTGCTTCCTATCAGTGAAAAAGTGCTAATTTTTTACTTATTGTGTGTAATTTATCAATTAAATGATTATATATATGTATAGGGTTTGCTGTTACCCATGGATTCAGGTATCCATGGTAGGTCTTGGAATGCAACTCATGGATAGGGGGAAATACTGTATTGTATTTCCCATCAATTACAGAGAGGACATGCCCATTACTTTGTCCATGCTAGGCTTCCATGGAAAGCCATAACCACTGATCTATTACCATAATTAAAAGCTACTACAGATGAACAACAAAAGATACACAACCTTAAATTAGTTATCAAAAATAATATTGATAATCAGGTAGGCATTAAGTGTCAACAATAAATTCATTTTACGGTAGACTTGAGTATGCTATTACAAGAACAATAAGTCTTGCCTTGACTGCAAATATGTCTTCACTTGATGTAACTGTTACTTTCACATAGTCTTGAACCTCCAGTTCTGTAAAGAAAAAATAACTAAGTTGTCTTGTACATACTTGGAAAATATGTGTCAAATTTACTGGTCAACATTCAAAATTAAAATTAAAAAAAAAAAAATAAATAATTATTTTTTCATTTCTTATGAGCCAGAGAAATTACAGTAATTATACATTCCATTTGACTTTCTTTTTTATTTTGATCCTATTATAATTGGCATTATTGGACACCCTTGCCCTCCAATTAGTCCATTAAATAAAAGTGTCATTGCAGTTTACACTGTAATGAGAAACACGACACTTGATCGTATCCTAAATGAAGACGATGTGTGACTTGGAACAATTGCTGTACCTTGTAATATATATTTTAATTACAGTGTGTACAGGAGATTTGAAAAAACTGGAAAGACATAAATTTCTTAACCCGTAAACGGTCCAAACGTATATATACGTTTTTACCGCTAGTGCCCCAAACGTATATAGTATACGTTTTATGTGTCCTACATTTAACATTGCCACGATAAGCCTGAGTCACCCAGACATGAGAGAATGGGTGTGAGCACTCACTGCACCATATTAAAATAACTGGGGATGCCTGGGTACCACATGCTCTTTTTTCCTATTAAAAAACAACAATGTTTTTTTTCTCAAAAAAAGTTGGGGCAGTACGGTAGTGAACGTATATATACGTTTGGACCGTTTACGGGTTAATGGTTACAGAATGACTAAATTTGTCCTCAGCTTACCCCGTGCTAAGTGTAATTCTGATCCTTTGGTCACCCACTTGGGTTCTGGAATAGTAACATCAACTGGAACAGATAAAGAATACTCCAACTGTTGTTCACACCACATTTGTTTAGAAAAATCAGATACCCAGAGGTATCCCCCTCTAAGAGAATATATTGGCGGCAGAGGTTTATCATCTGTAGAAAATAAAAGTTATGAACATTTACAATGAGATTATTTCTCCCTGGTTATATTTCACACATGAAAATATAATATTTTATAAAGTAACATGAATAAAACCAAAATAATATGATTGAATCCTTGGAAAAGAAACCTACTAACATCCTTGAAAATGTCAGAGGTTGCATTAATATATGCAGCTTATTTAAAGACAAATATATAACAGTACATGGAAAATGCTCAAGCCAGGTCCCTAATCTGCAATAAGAGCTTAATGGAATGCAGGATATAGAAAAAATGGAGAATATACCTGCTGAAAATCAAAAGTGCTATATGAAAAGGTAGAGAACACTGTGTCAACATTCAGGGTCCAAGACACTTCAATCTTTAGCACTTTAGCACTAGATAGTGCATAGAGTATAAGAATTATTAACAGAGCAGAGGTAGGAGTATTCAAAATGAAACGGGGCAAATTTTAATAAGGAATATTGGATCAGCTGGATGGTAATACTAGTTACACAGACCTGTGGGTCATACTACAAGTGTCACTGATCAGGCAAGCAACAGTGTCAATGATCAGGCAAGTGACAGTGTCACCGATCAGGCAAGTGACAATGTCACCGATCAGGTAAGTGTCACTGATCAGGCAAGTAACAGGAAAGTCTGACTACAGGTGTGTCTCTTATTCACACAATATTTCCTCTGCTTTATGTACTGTGGATACTGTATATATGTCAAGTAAGTTCTTAACTGTAATAAATTTTTTAAAACAATTTAATGTACACTATCGTACAATTGTTTCCATATATACAGTGGTCCCTCGCTTTTCGTAGTTCTCGGCAATTGTAAATTTCGCCAATCATAGGGGTATTTTCGTATAAACATGGACTCGCTTTTCATAGGTTGACTCGCGAATAGTAGTTCATCCGGGACGCGTATGCACGGTGTGAGCCGGGGCAGCCTCCCTACCCAGCCAGTCTGGCATTGTTTACCAGTGAGTGAAGGTCCCCTCAAGTGCTCCTACAAAATATTTCATAATATTCCACTCATTTTAGTGCTTGCAAGTATTAAATAAGCTGCCATGGCTCCAAAGAAAGCTCCTAGTGCCAAGCCTGTGGTAAAGAAGGTGAGAAATATGTACAGTGACAAAGTCTTGGGCCATTTTAGGGAAGTGTTAAAGAGACGCCAGAAACAGAGCTCTCTCCACAGTTACTTTGCGAGACAGGACTAGAGTGACTCTCAAGGTGGTCCTAGTGGCATTAAGAAACAGAAAAGAGAAGCAACCCCAGAGAAGCAATTGGTACCTGAGGTGTTGCTGGAAGGGGATTCCCCTTCCAAACTGTAAACAATCCAATCTCTCTCCTCCTCCAGTCTCCTATACACTAAGAAGAATCTCCAATAAAGGTAAGTGTTACGCTGTTAATGTTTCATTCATCATTTCCCATTGTATTGTTTATGTACTACATGTATATTTCATGTAAAAAAATTTTTTGTTTTAATACTTCTGGGTGTCAGGAACGGATTAATTGTATTTACATTATTTCTTATGGGGAAAATTGATTCGCAAATCATAAATTTCGTTTATAGTAACGACTCCAGGAACGGATTAATTACGAAAAACGAGGGACCACTGTATTATTATTATTATTATTATTATTATCAAAACTAAGCACTAAACCTACAAGGGCTCCAAATATTAATAATAACAATTGTTTATATAATTACAATATTATTATTTCTATTGTCCAGTCAATGAGGATGTGTAAAACAATATGAACTGGAGTTATATGAGGTTTATCAATTACAATATTGAACTAAACCCTTTAAGAGTTTTTTAATACCGTACTGGTATTTATTATGTAACATTTTATAAATTCTATGAAGGGAAATATTTTTCATACATTGTCCACGTAATCATGTGAAATGAAAAACATTCACCTCACAAATTTTGCAAAGCTAATGCAACATAAGGCAAATAAGTATATGAAAGACACAGAGCAAGTCTTTAGTCAAAGATGATTTTCATTTAGTGAAACATGTCCTTTTTATTATTGTTATTGAAAAGAAGTGCCAAGCTCAAAGGGGATCAGAGTATGCCTGAGGAATGGGAGGTAATCAGTTTTGACTTAATTTTCTGAATCAATACTCCCTCACTAGCATCAGGAAACCTTTGCTGAGGAGACTTTTTAATAAAAGCTTACTTTGATTACATGTCTTAGATTTACTACATGTTGGTCTAGTCCTATCATTCATACAAAAATATTGTACATAATAATGATAGTATGATACCCAGTGAATTATCTGTTTTAAGACTTTTTATCAGTGGCTTTGCATCATCCTTCTCTACACTCTCAGAGTGATGTCTCTTCCTGGCAGTCTGAGTACTGCTAGCAGCAGTGGTTGCTGACAGCTCATATGCTTCTTCTGAAAAACAGAGAAAAGAGTGTTGCATTTAAGAACAGCAGTGATTCACATTATTTTCTATACATGTTTTCCTTGTTTTATGCAGTTTCACTACTTTATTAGGCAATGTTCAATTTCTATGAATAATTTTGTATATGCAGCATGTAGTGTAAATGCTCCAGCACTTAGTACGGTGGTACCTTGAGTTTCGAACAGCTCCCAACTCGAACAATTATGTAGGTGTATTTTTGTAAGTGCTTTTGTAAGCATATTTTTGGGGGTCTGAAATGGACTAATCTAATTTACAGTATTCCTTATGGGCACAAATTTGTTTGGTATTGGCACTCGAGCAGCCTTCTGGAACGAATTAAGTTCGTAACTCGAGGTACCACTGTACAAATATCTCGCATATTAGCCGATTCTTTAAAGCTTTATGGTACATATTAATAACTGTGTTACCAAATCTTTTGGTTGCACTTCTTGAATCTTGTTGCAACTAAATCTCACAATGTGAAGTCACATTTCCTTTCAAGCAAAAAATTTTTCATCCATTATAATAGTTTGCCCATTATTCTTCCTATCAAATCATATTTGATAATTATATGTATACAAACATAATTATTATTTTAGTAATATTATATTCATGAGTAAGAGCTAAATCCATAGGGGTCATACAGCATCTGGAGTACAACTGAAGGTATTCAAGTTCAATCCAAGGAAAGAGAAAACAGGTCCAACTCTCGAGATCAAGAGCCCAGCACTGGGCTCTTGGTTCAAGAGCTATTCATTGATATCAAGGCACCTTCTTGAAGGATCTTCAAAAGTAAATCAGAACCAACCAAATTATTCTTATTATTACTATTATTATTATGAAGTGCTAAACCCATAGGAGTCATACAACACCAAGAACCCCAATGGAAATAAATCACTTTGACTTTTTTTTTGAGTTACTGTGGGTAATTCACATTATGTATGGTAACTGTACTTATCTGTACTTGTACCTAAATAAACTTACTAATGCCTGGTGAATGGAAAGAAATCAAGTTTGACCTGAAGAGGGATGGTAGCTGCAATTCCTGGGCTGTTTTTGTTATGGCTAATATTGAATCTTAGGTCCTTATCAAAGCTCTGCCATAATTTTTTTTAATTACAAGCAAACTATCTATACCCAGCAAAAATAATTATTTCTTGTGCACACTATCATTCTGGGAGATACTGTACATACTATTAGCAAAGACAATGTACATGTATATAAGAATGCTGTTCAGAAGGGCCAATCAAACATTAGTATCAGTCATACGACAAACCTAGCTAATCACACATCAGTCATGTGATATTATTATTATTATTATAACCAAAAAGAAGCGCTAAACCACCAGTCATGTGATAAACCTAGCTAATCACACATCAGTTATGTGAAAAACCTAACTAATCATAGTAAAAATAAACAATTACTCGTCCATTTCCAAATCTACCGATGCCATGAGTAATTTCTTACTAGTATGATATAGTTTTTATGACAAAATTTGACAATTTATCAGGTTAGTACATTTAAGGTTAAGTTAATTTATATTAGGTTATCTTTATTTAGGTTTGGTTACATTAGATTACTTTAGGCTACATTAGGCTTAGTTGTTACTCTCCCATTAGACCAAAATAAAACTCTCCATGGCACAACTAACTTAATATTAAATAATTTAAATCATAAATTGTCGCCAAACTCACATAAAGACTTACATTAATATTATTACATTCATGGTGAGTGTTAAACCCGTATGGGTTTGTGCCTAGAAAATGGGATGAACTCAGATTCTATTCAAGCGGAAGCCACATACAATTCCTAGGCCCAAAAGCCCTTGCATATCATTATTATAATCATAAGCACTAAACCCACAAGGGTCATACAGCGCTGCTTGTACAATATGAAGACACACATCAGCATGTATGTAATAAGTTTATTCAGGTATAGATACATATATATATATATATATATATATAGTTAAAAAAATTACCATACATAGCAGCACATGTATAAATTACCTAGAATAACCCCAAAAAAAGGTCAGTGACTTACTTCCACTGGAGTCCTTGATCTAAAGAGAAAAAATCCATTACCCAAATCATTGCCAAAATATCGCCATCACTGATGCCTCCCCAGTCATCCTCATCCATTATTGTACAGTAGTTATTTATTGCTTTTGGGGAGAACTGTTCCCTTCCCTTCAGGTGAACCGAGTCAAGATTCCCTTCAGAAATCTTAACAATACTTAATGTTGGTTTAGTGCAAGATTTGTATTAATGTTGTTGTTGTTGTCGAGGGGATTTAAGGGCAACCAAAACTTAGAAGCTTTTTGAGCTCTGAATGGACATAAGATAAGATAAGATTTCGTTAAGATAAGATAAGATTTCGTTCGGATTTTTAACCCCGGAGGGTTAGCCACCCAGGATAACCCAAGAAAGTCAGTGCGTCATCGAGGACTGTCTCACTTATTTCCATTGGGGTCCTTAATCTTGTCCCCCAGGATGCGACCCACACCAGTCGACTAACACCCAGGTACCTATTTGCTGCTAGGTGAACAGGACAACAGGTGTAAGGAAACGTGTCGAAATGTTTCCACCCACCGGGAATCGAACCCGGGCCCTCCGTGTGTGATAATAATAATAATAATACTAATAATAATAATAATAAATAATAATAATAATAATAAATCTTTATTTACTACAAGTAAATGTACATGTTATACAGACCATAGCTGACATCAATGACATACTACTATACAAAGCCGCTTGTTATGCTGAACATTTCCCGCAAATTAGAGTATGAATTAGTATTACTCTGGCCGAAATGCCTAGGCATGCTAGTGACCTTCTTTGTAATTAATACTTTATAACATGTAAACCACACATTGTAAGCTTTACAAGGAAATAAACATTGTCACTGTCAGTTTTGTCCCAGGATGCGACCCACACCAGTCCACTAACACACAGGATGTGACCCACACCAGTCCACTAACACCCAGGATGTGACCCACACCAGTCCACTAACACCCAGGATGTGACCCACACCAGTCCACTAACACCCAGGATGCGACCCACACCAGTCCACTAACACCCAGGATGTGACCCACACGTCCACTAACACCCAGGATGCGACCCACACCAGTCCACTAACACCCAGGATGTGACCCACACCAGTCCACTAACACCCAGGATGTGACCCACACCAGTCCACTAACACCCAGATGTACCCACACCAGTCCACATAACACCCAGGATGTGACCCACACCAGTCCACTAAAACCCAGGATGATGACCCACACCAGTCCACTAAAACCCAGGATGTTGACCCACACGTCCACTAAACCAGAATTGGACCACATGTCACTAACACCCAGGATGGTGACCCACAACACAGTCCACTAACACCCGGAGGATTGTACCCCCACACGCCACTAAACCCAGGCATGTGACCCACACCGTCCACTAACCCCAGGATGTGACCCACACCAACCACTAACACCATACCCAGTTTACTGATGGTTAACATGTACAACAGTTAAGAACACTGCCCTTACAAGGAGTATGGAAAGTTGATCCCCTGATCAGAAATCCTTCTTTGGGATAGATGCAAGGCCCTGAATCTGCACTCTCTTGAAAGGCGAGAATAAGGGGGATATAATTGAGGTGTAAATGGGATAACTGGAATCAAGGGATGTAAATAACGTGCAAAATATCTAGCGTAACAGACCACAGCAGGCTGAGTTCAGAAAAATTTAGTTCTTGAAGGTATGCCAGCTGAACTGGTTTGGTAAGAGTTGTGGACGATGGAACAAACTCAAGATTCCGGTCAACCCTACGACGCCGGTCTGAAGAACTAGGTTGGATAAATACCCGGTGGATCAGAGCGTTTGGAGTTGCTGCTAGCTTGTGCTACTACAGAGTCGAGCCTCACCAGCTGATTCTGACTGATTAGGTTCAAGGCATTGCTTAAGCCGTGGGGAACTGGCTCCTCGCATGAGTGGCCTGTTGCAGTGAACTCCTTGGGCCCACCACTTCTGGAAATCGACCTGAAACGCTTACACACCATGCTGCTATGAATTGGGGGATTGATGCAGCATATGGCAATCTTTTTCAGGAAACGTTTTCGCCACATGGCTTCATCAGTCCCATACAAAAAAGGCTAGAGGAGGAGTATAGGTAATCAGTCCCTCGCTGGGTCGAGTGTTCAGGTCTACAATCTTCAAGATGTACGCAAAATGAGCGTGGCTTATATACTGTAGTGAGGTGAGTTTACTGTGACACTTTGCTACAGTCGGGAATTACCTGAAAGGTATGAAATACGCAATATGAAATTAAACCACCTGTGAAGCAACTGATCCTTTAATTGTAGACTTTTGCGCCTCCAGTAGGCTTTTCAAAGTTCTAGGAATAATAGATACCTGTAATATTCTAAGATGCGATGATCAGTCCGGTTCTGAAGGAGATCCGTCGTTCACAGCATCGGTTGAGGAGAGTTTGGCAATTGTGCCAGAACTGGGTTTTTATAGGCATCAGTGGAAGACGAATCAACGAGGCAGTCACTGGGGGATGAATTCCCATGGAAGTAGTCCTTTTCCGCAGACCTAAGTTTGTCAGTGCCGTAAAAGTCTTGTAGATGCCCTCAATCGAAGATTCCATGAGTTCGGTGTTTTACAAATGGAAGAACGGTATAGATACCGGCACAATTTTAAGTTAAGATATCATGATGCAACATGGAATCTATGTAGTACGTTTCGCCATCCGTGACTTTTCAAACAGATTCTCGGACATAATAGGTTGACGACTATATCAAGTGTATCTCCTTGTTGGAAGTTAGTAGTTCCACGACCGTTGGTATTCCTTGAGCAAAGGCGCAAACGCCGTTTTAAAGGTTTTCAGTGAATGTATGGACACGCATTATTTTTTTAGTGCATTTAGGACCTCAGTGGATCCAGTCCTTCAAAGACGGTAGTCCGTCCAAACCATGTGCCCTTGTAGATGTACTGAACGTTTCCTGAGGTGCGGGTTCTGACAGTTTGCAAGAAAGGATTGTTACCTCATCTTTTGTATTAGTTTCTACTGTCTTCCTAGTTATTCTGAATCTGTATTGATAAAGCCTTGGATGGCGAACGTCTACAATTTTATAATCCAGATGATCACATGTTCACTTCCATCCATTGCGGTATTTTAAGCCTTTATGGGCACAGCATTTCAATCTACTGCAACATCATGGAACGGTTAGAGGACATCTAAACATCTCTTCACGGCTACTGACGAGGCTCCATCTTTTGGGAATGACCAAGTTCCACTGGAATCTCCCTGGACAGTGATGCCCTCGTCGCTGTCCGTACCCTCCCTGACGCCTTAAAAACGCCGTCATTCTTGGCTTGGCTCCAGATCTCCTCCCCCAAACGATGCTGTGAACTCTAATCAAAGTCCTTGGATACTTACCTCTCTTTCTGTATAGGTTGCTAAACTTCCATATTTGGACTTGAGTATGTAAGCTTCTGAGGGCGAACGTCTACATAAGAATCCATTGTTTAATAGGTCTTAACTTTCATTCATTAGTGAGGTGCTTGAAAAACTGATCATATTGGGACTGTAAAGTAGCTTCCAATTTACCATGCGTTTGTGAAAATTTCTTTTTAAGAAGATCCCATGATGGCTTTGTCTACATTTGATGATGTTTGGACAATGGGAAAGAAGAAATACATATGGGTTTCTTTCGGGATTTCGCCACAATGCTTCATAGTTCCCATTCAACGTAGGAGATGTGAGGTACAGTCAACAGCCATGGATTCGAGTTTAGAAAATTTGAGATTACAGGAAGGTAGAAGACTGGTTTGGTAACTAGAGTGTGGACTTGAACAAACCCCAGGATACCTTCATAGAATCTAAACGCTTGTTTAAAAATTTGGACAAATACACGACTTGTAGTGGAGTGACCACTTGGACCGACTAGCTTGTCACTACTGTATAAAGCACGTCTACGCCTAGCTGTACATATCTACAGATTAGGACTAAGGCATTGACTCAAGGCTGGGGAGAACTCAACTCCTCCTTTCGCATGCCCAGTATGGCCTGTTTACCCAGGTGCCTTTCCTTAATGATTCCATGCTCTTGCCAATCCAACCTTGGTAAAACCTCTGCATTGCTAGTATGATAATTCTATGTAACTGTATTTGTGTATACCTGAATAAACTTACTTAAAGAGAGCGCTTCACACAGTTACATTGATTATCATACATAGCAGCATATGTATATTATTATAATAATAATCAAGGGGGAAGCGAGCATATGTATAGAGAGCCTAGGATAACCCCCAAAAAATCAGAATGACATATTTCCATGTGACATTTTATTGTGGCAATGTTTCACTTGACTTGTAAGTTTATTCAGATGTAGGTACACACAAAAAAAGTCAACGTGACTTACTGCCAAAGCTTCTCGGGGAGGGAAATGTTGCCAAAAATAAAAAAAAAACATAAATGTTGTATATTATTATTATTATTATCAAAACCAAGTGCCAAACCCACAAGGGTCATACAGCTCAAATGCAATATAATGAGATCCTTTATTGACTACGTTTCACCCACACACTGGGCTTTATCAAGTCAAAGATTGAAACACTCACGCAACATATGGGAATCTTTGCACAAATGTCTCAATCTTCAACTTGTCAGTTTTCAAAACCATTTATCACATTTATCAAGTCACAAACAGATCTACCTGGGTAGAGTACACGAGTGTACAAGGTGGAGAGTCAGGTGGAGAATGTTGGGGAGGTTGGGTTTGAGAAGGACCTGCATGGGATGGGCGAGTGGATATCTTATGTAGGATAACGATGAAGTTTCCTGACAGGAGAGTATGAATTTCCTTCAGAAGCCTACTGTGTAGGTGAAACGTTTCGGAATAAAGATACCTAACTGTTGTACATGTGTCATACTTATCAAATCACCAGCAGAGCCAGGTGTCTCCCTCAGTAAGCATGGTGCTTGTGGCTTGGATATAGATCACTTTGACTTTTTTTTTTTTTTTTGGGGGGGGGGGGGAAGTTTGACTTGGTAATTTGCTAGTTAATTAACACTATGTATGATAATTGTACTCATGTGTATCTGTACCTAAATAAACTTACCTCAACTCACACAATGGGTTATCCTAGTTAATCTACACTTAAGCTGCTATGTAAGTTTATTTAACTGTATTTATGTGTACCATTTATGAACTTACCAGGATCGATCCCTGGCACGCGTGAAATGTTGGGCATGTTTTGTAATAATTTTTTTTTTTTGTGTGGGGGGGCACTACTGCTCAAAGGATGATCATGGGATGGACATTAAACTAGCAGCTTAGGCGGCACATCTAACAGCTTATTTCCTTACACCTGATGCCCTTGTTCACCTAGCAGTAAGTAGGTTCCTGGTTGTTAATCAACTGTTGGAGTGAAAGATTAACCTAAGTAGCCCCAACATGCTCTGCATAACCAGAGGCTTTCTTTATGTAGTATGTCGTTGTCATTATTTTCTAATTCTACCACTACATCTCCTACTACTACTTCTACAACTTCTGCTACTACTGCTGCTATTACTAATTTTTATTACGTATATAAGTGTTAAATCTAATTATTCTAGCAAAGTTTACCCCTTCCTGAGCCATGTCTCCCAGGAGCACAGAGGCAGGGCTCAATAAGGCCCAAATCTATGCTGGAGTTGAAGAGGAATAAGTAAGTTTATTCAGTTACAATTACACAATATTTGGGTGATTAGATGAATATGTAATATACTATATGTAATATACCCAAAAAAAGTCAATGTGACTAATTTCCATTGGATTATATTACAGTACTACAGTATTATAATCATAACTAAGTGCTAAACCCACAAGTCATACAGTGCTGTATATACATTGGAGCTCTTCTGGTATAACTATTACAGTAAAAATCAGTCATTATGATTATTACTATTAAAAACCCAAAATATACTGATATTAAATGTGTGAAAATAAATTACAAAATAAAACGAGCAAGTAAATCAAATACAGTGGACCCCCGGTTAACGATATTTTTTCACTCCAGAAGTATGTTCAGGTGCCAGTACTGACCGAATTTGTTCCCATAAGGAATATTGTGAAGTAGATTAGTCCATTTCAGACCCCCAAACATACACGTACAAACGCACTTACATAAATACACTTACATAATTGGTCGCATTCGGAGGTAATCGTTATGTGGGGGTCCACTGTACATTAATAAACCATACTCTCAGGACCGAGTGTACTCGGTCCTGAGAGCGTGGTTTTTGCGCATGTCCTCCTACTCCCCCTGTGCATCTAGGTTCCCATTATCTCTTTCTGACCAATCACAAGCCTTCCCTGAGTCGCTCCAGCCGCGTGGTGATGGCGTCTCCTCGCTTCCCATTGGTCGAGAGAGCAGAATGTGAACACTCCTAGCTTGGGGGCGAAAAAACTTGTGTTTTTTGTTGAGTGCTCCCTATATACTCTACCATAGCACCCTCTACAATGTCGGTAAGTACTGATTTGTGTATTTAGTGCGTAAATGAATAGTTTAGCTATATTTTGACATATATATAAAGACGTTTTGAAGCATAATATGAGTGCACCGTGCAATTGAAAAAAGTGCAACAAAATAGGACCGAGTACACTCGGTCCTGCCCATTTAGGGGATGTTTTCAAGTTTTCGTATATAAATATTTCCATAAAATTTGATAGTGTATATATGAATTCAGTAATGATCTGGGTGTGTACAGAACATTTTTATTGTCCTTCCAAATCAATCAGAAATTGTTCTATGGCGAGTCCTCCAAGGCTAAGTCAAAATTTGTCTGTGTTTGGGACGATAGTGACTCAGATCAAGACCCAGATGACCTGGAAGTGGTGGACACTGATGATGAATACTTGCCACCAGATGCAGAGGTGTCAACAGATGAGGAGGAGGAAGCTGGGCCACCAACCAAAAAGAAGAAATTGAACAAGAAGAAGAAGTGTATTACTGTGGAGGAGTACCCTAATGAAGAAGAGCTTCAAGATGATCTTGCTTCTCAAGGAGACACC